ATAACATAATCAATTGCATAGTGTCTTCTAATTTCATTAGTTGTTAGACCATTTCTTGCAAAGCGCGACCATTGGTCAAGGAAATGCCTGAAATTTGCCATTACATTTCTCACTTAATTCAGCAAATACATCAACTCAGTGCTCATATGTTGCATGAATGAGATATTCATGCTCAAATTAATCTTATGCACCATCCTCTCCATTCTTTAATACTGAGTCCATTGGCACAAATTTGGCTCCTTGACACCGTTTGTTGCCATTGAATGGCAGGCGCGCATGGAGTTGGAGCTGATTGAGGCCCTAAAGCGCAAGCAAAAGGAGCAGAGGCTTGCGTATCAGCAGCTAGAGGAAGCCTTGGGCATCTGCCATCGGTAAGATGCCACCGTCATGTTTTATTTACAAAGAATGCTATGTCCGTACCTACCTGCATCACGTGGGTGCCTATTGAAGGTGCAGTCACACCCATCATAGCCCTGAAGGTGTCTGCGCATCTTTGATTCATTGATTTATGCTTAGAAAGCAAAGCGTGAACTACAGCATTGCCAAAAACAAACAGAAAGTTGTTGTTAGAGCTTAAGGTTGCGTCATTGCAGACTTGCACTATTATGTCGACGCTTTCAGAAACGGCAAAATGTAGTACTGCTTAAACCGGCAATCTGCTTTAGATTGTCATCTTTCATTTGTGACATCATTTAAGAAGAGCTGGTATAGGACAAGTACCTTGCAGTTCTTGTTTGTATCAATTTTTCCGAAAGGCTCTATCTGTTTGAGAGAAATATCCATCCATTCGCCATGAAACGTGCTTGATTATACTTTTTCAAAAAACGACTTGCAGGAAATTTCGCACAAACCAGTACTGCAAAGTACTGGAACTTACATTGGTTTACCCAAATCAAGATTTTAAGCCTAACTTCAATCTCTCTTGTTGTTTGCTATCTATTTGCCTTACACTGAAACAATTGAGAAACATCAGTACTTCGGACACAGGGTCAGCAAGGGCAAAGCACTGAGTGGTAGGCAATATGCAGTACATCCACAAGTTCTTGTTTTCGCAGTTCATTTTTCAAATTCGACAATGTATCCAACAACCTGGGATTGCCAACTTTGCATTGGTGCTGTCTAAATTCTTGCTTCCTCGGTTTAATCGAGACTGGATTCAAAGCTCGTGTGAATGATCCTTATCAGGAAATTGCCATCCAGGATTGTTGTGATGTTCTCACGACCTGGAGTTGGGGCGCAGCAGGACGCCGACGACGGAGAACGCGGCGGCCACCTGGGAAGTCAATCCGGCCTTGGCAGATGAGCCGAGTGAAGAGGACATCGCCAGAGTGTTCGCCAAGTATGACGTCAGCGGCACTGGTCACATATCGACGACCCAAGTGGAAGGTGACGAATGGCAGCAGTTGGTGGTGCCTGTGTCGTGCTTTGTGAAGAGCGATCATCGACGGGGAGCTATCGGGTCAAGATCAACAGAATTGGTAGTTTAGCGTGCTCATGGTGGCAGCCGCTCAAGTACAATCGAGAGCGTGTGCCGGTGATCATCGATGTGTTGGATCACTTGACGTTCAGTTGGCTCATGCGCAGCCTACCTATGGTTGTGGTCTAGTAGAAACCACTCGCTTCTTCCCGGCTGGCTCTTTCAATCCCGATTTGACTCATAATCTTTCTTCAAGCGCACTGTTCTGAAAGAAGCTCCAGCCCGCACTGAATTCCGTTTGTATGTCACTTCGCGATTTCCAGGCGATCTTCTGTCAATTTGTATGAGCAGCTGCATGAATACTAAGTCACAGTACATTGGGGTATTTGATTTCAGGGCTGCTGCAGAATCTGGGCCTCTCCTTGAAGGCCCACCAGATGAGCCAAGCTGTGTCGCAACTGGACGTCAAGGGATCCGGCCAAGTGTCCTTCGGTGAATTTCTCTTGTGGTGGAAGGGGTAAATAGCTGGAACATCAAGATTCGCCGATAGATGCTCGTTGGGAGGGCACAGTCGAAGGACTCTACGGGAAGATCATGATCACAAGGGATTGGAGCACCAGGGCGGCCCAAAGCAATCCTTGCAATATTGTGTTAGTGACTCGTCAAATGGAAGAAAAACACTTCCGATGTTACGGGGCAGCTCCTCCTCGTCGGATGTCTTTTTTCATGCCAGCCATTGTCCTCTGGCGAAATGTTGCTATGTGAGTTTTTTCAGTTTGAGGTAAGAATAACCCGGGTCTGCGCTTAAATACTTGACACGTGTGGCTCCGCGGACTGCTTGACGTCATGCGCTAGACGGCGAGGAAAATGGGAGGCACAGCAGATCTCAGCGCATAACACGATGGAAAAAAGGGCCAAATAACACTTTTGCGAACACACATAAAACACATTTCATCAAATCTCTGCACGTTAAGAATACAAGAATAACACAAACCCGTAAATTTGCACACGTTTGAACACGTGTTCTTTTGCCCCTTTTTTCCTAGTGTAAGGGAACGGGAGGATGGCATGTCACATGTCGCATGGCCTTGCGCAAGGGTTGGGTCTGGGTATGGGTTTGTGTAACAGAGTCGTCTCCCCACACTTGAAGCATTTTTGAAGCATTTTATTTTTTTTTCCCGCCCAAGGCCTCTGCAGTGGTGATGAAAATGTTGCGCTGAGCGTCGTGGTGCTTCGGAGTGGTTGGGAGTATGTCAGTTTTCCGAAGTACTGGCGCCCATATGAAAATCCTTGGTTTGTCGAGGTGCCAGAGCAGCAGCAATGCACTCCACACACTACAACTTTCTTTCAAGGCCGCCGCTACCTGCGCTGCGCGATGACGGTGAGCCGACAGCAAGCGATTACGCAAACCACATTGTGGCATTAGAATGTTTTTCTGGTGCCGGACTCTCTGGGATCTGTCTTTGTGAATACGATACACCGAAGGGCAAGTCTCAGAGCAAATACGTGCACACCCATGCGCCTCAAAAATGAGAAGAAAGCGAATCAAAAAAGATGCTAGTGTGTATCAATCACTGATCGATAATCACCATCATCCGATCACCTATTTCAGTCATTCATCATCCCTGTCTGTCCGATCCGCGAATTTTCCGCCCAAGACTTTTGCAAAATCTGCGAACAATTTTTAAAAATTCTGCAGCTGCAGAAGCGAATTGGCGTCGAACACCCTGCCATCCTCGAGCAGCTCCAACTCCACGATTACGTAAGCCTGCCTTAAATGTGTGAGACAGCCGAGGGCAGGATATAATTTGGCGTCGCCACTCCCTCCACGCTGCGACTCGGCGCTCCAGTTGCAGGCGCCAAACTCCCCGAGTCCTGCGCTCAACAGGTGATTGTGGGCGCCGGATGCACTAGCAGCATGCTTGGTCTTTGCGTTTAAGCATTTACGCTTGAAAACGTACCATTGCAAAAGGGGATGTTTTACGGCTGTGTTTGCGTCTGTTTACGGCTCTTCGGGACACCCAGGTCACATCATGAAATCGCAAACAGTGATCAGCCCTCCGCCTCGAGGTGCTCGAGTAGCTCCTCGAGCACCCGCAACACAGTCCACCTCACCCTCGGCAAGGGCAAAGAAAGGTTGTTTTGTGCCCAATCCAGAGCATCAGCTATCATTGAATTTCAGTGACAGCGGCTTTGTGTACGCTGGATCAAAATTTACATATTCTTGCACGCATCTACGCGCAAAAACATGTATACTAATTTTGCCCGCAAATATGCGTAAATGCTCAGTGTGCTACGCGGCAAAGACCAAGCATAGTCATCACCAAGCAACATTATTGAGATGCTAACTGCGCTGCGCTTTGCCGTTAGTTGATAACTGTACACGCATCCACTTACATGTAAGTGCAAGAAGCCCACTGTGCAAGTGCACAAACACGCAAAGGTAATTAGATACAAAGGGGAGGCGCGACGTGTACGGCCAGCATACGCACAGGTTCTGGGCAGACATGTCCACCGCTCTAGACCGGTGCGAGCCAAAATTAACTGCCGTAGGGTAATCGTTGGAATTTGGCTTCAGGGGTGGTCATCACGTGCCCTCATGGAAGGGGCGCTACAACGAGACCAATTTCTTTTCCTCATTGAGCCTCGCTGGACAATGAACAAATTGGTGTTTTGTCAGAAGCTAGGCCAGACGCAGTAACTTGTTAGCGACAGGCTGGAGCGGGTCGTTTGCTTCCACATGTCTCATCGCTCCTACAGCTCTACCATACAAGGCGACAGATCGGGAACTCGCCACTGGCAGTTTTGCAACCCTGGTCCTGGTGATGCAATCTTGATCATTGCGTGATCCTCACCGAATCGAAAGTTGAGTCTTGGATAGAGCAAGTGACAGCGCGCAGACAGCACGAAGTGGTTCGCCCTCTCAAGTGTGCTCGTCTTCGCCCTCTTGACGCTCAAGGAGCAGCGCCGACGGCTGGGCAACTTCACGCCATTCCCTCATCCGCCTAAATCACTTCTCGTTTACAGTATGTCATCTCTAGTTGACAGAACCTTTTTTGCCTTTAGTAAGGTATGGGGTCAGGCACAGGATGCACACTGATCGGCAAGTTGCCAGTCGCAGCGTGTAATGCAACGAAGTGGCGAACACCGCAATTTGCACGCTCGGGATTGAAGAAAAGCCTACGGGAAATTAATTTTGGTCTTCAAAATTGGCACCAGCCATGCAGTTGTACGGCTCGCAACCATGGGGAACTTGAGTGCAAAGGCGGCAAGGCGTCAATTGGTGTGTTCACCGAACTGGGGCCACTCGGTGATTTTCTTCCCTGACGTTTGTCCGAATAAGGACGTGTTCCACCGTTTTCAGCCCAACAAGTTGTCCGAAATAGTCCCTTCAGGACAACAAATTGCCCCTTCAGGCGAAGTTGAAAGAAAGAACGGACTGTCCCGCCAGGCTCCTCCAGTCGCTCATTTGAAGTCTAATGACGACACAAATCGTCAATTCTGACGTAGAAATACCCCGCGCTGGGGCCCCGTGTTTGCCATCCAGCCCTTCCCCGTCTCCCCTCGCGCCTTGGTGCACGAGATGTCTGCTGCGCAGAGGCTGCAGGAGGTGGAAGCTCGCTTGGCGGAGCTCTCCCGCAGCAAAGAAGACCTGAAGGCGCAGATCGTCCATGTCGTGTCGCCCCAACCTGACGTCGAGGTACGCGTTGGGGGCCCCCCTTCCCCAGCACACATCAGGCCATGTTCGTCTGCAGCGACCACGCGCGGCGCCATGACACTCACCTTCCTCGCAGGAGACCATCGCCGCGGACTCTGGGATCGATCCGCACGAAGTCGCTGCTGGCCTGGCGGCAGCCGTGGACGCAAAGCTGCACGGTGGGGTTCATGGCTGGAGGGTGAGGCGACGTGGGTGGGATTGCTGTTTCGAGGGAGAATTCGTGAAGGCGCTCGCGAACGGCCTCAAAGCGGCGGCTTCGCTTGCCTGCTGGCGTCGATTGCGCAAAGTCGTTGTGCAATCGAGTCATGGACTGGTGGCGCTGACCTGTAGTAACAGTGACGCTTCCCAAGGAAGGAAGGGAACTAGGCGTCCGATCGCAGCGCGTTGCCGGTCGCAAGTCTCTTGGCTTTACGGCACTCGTAGCTGGACCACGCCAGCTCGGAATCCCTCGCTGTGGACTGTCCATCATCTGCGAGGAAAATGGACCGATGGTCGTTGCTGATGATTGCGCGGGTGCCGTCAACAGTGAAGAGCCTCAAGGAGCTTCAGGAGCCCATGAGGGAGTTGGAAAGGGCGGCGAGGACAGTAGTGAGGAGTGCCGCCGAGGTGCGTTTTGGGCTACCGGGATTCGCCGCTGATGATGCGAGTCAGTGGGCGATTCTGCGGGAAACACGAGGGAGCGGGAACCACGGGCCAGTAACTATTGCGCGGGTGTTTGGGGTCGTGCAGTGCCGAGTTTGGAGCGAAACATGAAGGCTGTTGGCTTGTTTAATGGCAATTTCAGGCAGTGCCGTGAGTGTGAGCGTAGTGTGCCATTGTGCGTTTCTAAATTGTGCTCAGCTGTCTGTTTGGGGGGATCAACGTGGCAATCCTCTTATCTAGCTGATGGTCCATGGGCATCAATTCTGACACACAATGAGGCGCTTCTCTGCGGTAGCGGAAACTGTGTGACGAAGTGGTACCAAATGAGAGCACAGCCTTGGGTGGCGAGTGCATCAAACCTTCAGTGCCACTGTGCTCAGGGTGCTGAGGCCTACTGGCAGGCAGTGGGGAATGCTTGTAGCTGCTATCGGACTGTGGGCCCTCTGTGCTCAGCAGTGGAATCAACACCAGCAGCAGTGGAACACACTGTCCTCCAAGACCTGTCACAGCAGCTGCTGTCCAGAGCCAAGGTGGGTGGACCTGCCAGTTGGGGACGTCGCTGCCGAAGTTTCATATTTGCTTTTCGTTTCCTTGTCTGGCTCGCACCCTGCTGGAACCGTCCCACACAAGTGGCTCCTGCTTTGTGTGGTTCATTTGGACACAGCAGGCCCCACACATAGGAGAAGTACCCCGATAACAGGCATTTTTGGAGATCTGCTGGCACAAGACGGGGACAAAATACTTGTGCTCATGTTGATGATAATTCTCAGCGATGCAGTGTGATCAGTAGCAACAACAGCAAGAGCATTTGTCCCCTGTGCACACAGGTGTCCTTGGCGTCTATTGACAAGGCCTGCAGGGAGCATTTGGAGCGGCGGCTCTCAGAGTGCGGCTGGCCGCCGCCATTGGCCGCCCCGAAAGGGAGTGTCTTAGGCACGGAGAAGGGTACCTCCTTTTGGGAGAGACTTGAGAAGCAAGGTGGCGGGCTGCTGGATGGCCTGCTGCTGTCACTTGCAGCTCTCACAATGGTGCAGGTTGCTGTGGAGGAGAGGACTGGTGAGGTTCGTGAGTGAGCTGGAGAAGCACGTCCCTGCTTGCTTGGCATTTGGTTTTGCTCACAGCACATTGCTGGCGGACATAATGTGCTTTCAGTGCACCTGCACTAAAGGCATAGCATGGTCAGGTCATCTGAAGCACATTGTTGTGCAATCCCCATGCTCTTTGCTAGATGGGAAGCGTGTAATGTTGCTAGTCCATTACTCTCAAATTCATGACTCAGTTGATTTTAAAGTCTGCCTCTTTGCACATGTTGTAAGAAGAGCACTGAAGCTGTGCCTTCAACTGTGCTGTTCCTAAAAAATTGCACAGTGACACTGCCAATCTGTTGTGATCGCTGACACCTGGCTCTCATCATATGCCAGCTAAGTCTGTGCACATACTCAAGAACCATTGCTGAGAGTTTTTGAGAGTATTGTGACCTGGCTGTGTATCCATCAAATTGCAACATTGAAATGTGCATTCCCCCTTTCTTGAATGGCCAAATATGGTGTTCCCGAGACCAAGACAACCAGCTGTGATGAATGCTCACATTAGGTGGTCTTGTCCGATACTTAATTCTTGCTGTAGCTTTGCAAGATCAACTCATTTAGTCAATCTGTCACCAGATTCGGATTCCTTGGCTGATTTGGGGTTGATGTGGACTTTGATTGCATTAGGCATCGCTGTACAGTAAGACATTGACGGCCTTATCAAACGCATCCCTGTCCATTCCACCTGGGCCCTTAATTCCCTGCATGTTTGTGTTGTCCTCATCATGATGTGTTTCAATCCCTTTGCTCCAAATTCTTGGAGCACCTTCTAGGAGACAACAAATAGGCACCACCACACCCTTTCAACAGTTTTGGCACCAAGCTTAGACACCTATTCTCTGATGCGTTGTTGCCAGAGAGACTGTGAAGTGTGTGCATCGCTGCTCTGAGCAGCGATGCAAACAGCCAACACAATAATGAAATATGAAGATTGGGGTTGCTTTAAGGGAAACTGTGAACAGCAATGCCACCGGTAGTGTTGGCAGTGTCAATTGGACAAGAACTGCATTTCAGAGATTGCTGTGATAAGCAGTCAGAATATGATGAGCGATGGACAGCTAGCAGAGTAGGACGATCAATCAACTGTTAGCACGGCCCTCCATCATCTTGATTGAGGTAATGGAGCACTGAGTTGTCAAATGATTAACAACTCTCTGAAATATATTCTCAGGCAACCAGCATAACTTGGGCTTTTCTTTGAACTTTGTTTCAGCCTGCTGGTGAATGCCTGTGGTTCATGGATGTTATGGCTGCAAAACTAGAGGAGCGTCTCCGCGCTCATTTTGCATCCAATCGGAAGACCAGTGACATCAATCAGCCAGAGTGGCTTTTTGCAACAGCGCTGAAGCTCATCAGAGAACATGCCGATGGCATGGCATTTTTCGAAGTGAGTGAATAGTAAGTGCACTGTGTGGGGGGATGTCGTTGGGCCATGATGTGATCCAAGTCAGTGCATTCTAGCAGTGCCTTTCAATGAGAACGAACTGCTTTGAGAATGCCATCGTCTGTGGACAGTGTGAAGGAGATTGAGAAAATGGAACCATATTCTCCTGTTGTAGGCCTTGGTGTTAGGTTGATTGGGTGCTGGCCATAGACAATCTCCCAGTATGGCATCCCTCGTGCCATCCACTGGGTGCTTGTCATCTTGCCATTGTTGTCCATTCTGGTGTGTTGTTCTTGTGCACTCGGGGGCCTCAATGCGATGAAGGCGTGTCAGGGGTGCTGCAGTGGCTTTGTTGATGTGCAAGATGTGTATCACTCTACTTGTTCAAGCCTTCAAGATCACAAACTGTCTCGTATCACGACAAGCACATCCCCCACATTGCCTGTACTGCACTTAGAGTTGGCTTGTATATAGTTGGTGTCTGACGTTGTGAGAATGTGGACTGTCCAGAATTCACATCGTATTCAAACTGTACTTGTAAACTGTTCACGTTACGAATCAGATTTGCAACTGCATGGTGGTCCCAACAGCAACAGTGGCCACACGGCTGGTCCACCTGGCCAACGTGTTAAACAAGGTAACTACAGCAGCGCAATGGATTTGCACTTCAGCGTTTAATATAATTGCTGCCTGTGCCAGGGCCGTTTGCAGACACAGCCTGTTGATTACACGCTGGCATTTCAACGCAGGATCCAGGCAGCTGTCAAGGGTCTCCTGCGGTCGTCCCATCTTCCAGCACTGCTGTCTCTAGGGTCACGAGATCTGTGGAGAGACTGGGCGGTGGCTGCTGCTCAGTTTGACAGAGACGTGGCAGAGGCTCCATTCCTTGTCAGAGAGGTCGGGGTGGCGTACAGTGGTGATGTGCAGTACAGCTGCCTCAATGTCTTCTGCGAGAGGCAGGAGTGGATGGTGAGTCTTTTTGGGTTGAGTGGGCAATAGCCTTAGTGTGTCAGTGCACAATGTGGTCAGGGGCGGTATGCTCAACCTTGGGTACCTTTTCTTTGTCAAAAGGAAAGTCAAGGTAAAACTGGGTTGCATGTGCACCCAGGTAGCCTGCGATAAAGACGACAGTGAGGCTGGGGGAGTTGTTAAGATCTGGGTGCAGTGGCTTGTGGTTATTGGGTTCTATGCAGTGGTCACAGTGGGCAGCGCTGCAAAAGTTGCTGTTGTGTTGTATGTCAGATTGGTTTGCTGCCACTGGACATGTTGCCTGCTGGATATTTGTTCCTGATCTTCCATCGTACTGTGGTAGGGTTTGGCCTACTGGCACGTGTGTGCTGCAAATGAAAATGAAAGATGTACACATGAAGCATGTTGTTGTGCAAGATCCACCGATGAGCAGTGCTTGCAAAGCGAAATTCGGATATGTATCCCTCCATCGCAATTCGAGGAACATCACTTAGATGCAGTCCAGTCTGGGCTGTCACACTGGAAGGTACTTTACACTGGGGAATTACATGGGTGTGCCGATCGTTAAGTTGTTGGCAAACCAGAGATTAAGAATTCCAAGCACATGTGTACCTTTCATCAGCAGAGGCTATCCTGCCAGCACCATTGTCGCGCTTGTGGCCATGATGGCGTCTGAACATTGGGGCATGATTGTGTTGCCTACTTGTTGCTCAATGTCACAGACTCGAGTTTTGTATGTCTGGGAGATGATGTTGCAGGACATGTTGCGAGGTGTGATAGTGGCTGAGGCAGCATAGACGTTCTTTGATGACAATGTTCCTGTCATATTGGCATACAGTTGCGATGTGTATAGCATGCAGGCTGTGTTGTGGCTGATGCAGTTACATTCTCTTGCTGCATCCTGATGCTTAAGAACGGGGCTCTGCTGCCCAGATATATTTGGAGTGTGAAGTTGGGAACCAGCGACTGGCTGCAGTAGTTCAGATTGTTGAATTTTTGTTTCCACTAAAATCCAGGAGGAGAGCATCTATTGTGCATTGGATATTCGGTTGTATGCTTCGGATAGAAATACAGGATCCATGAGACAGCTGACATCAATGGCAATGTGCTCTTGTTTCTCGAAGTAACACTGTTGCACTGCACAAGGTGATCACAGGAATACTGTCTTCCAAAATTGTCATTGCACACCAACCACAGTGGACAAAGATTAACGATAGGAGGATGTGGGGAATTAAGCAGGACGGGAGCTGACTGTGTTGTGTGCTCCCCTTGTGTGAGTGCATCAGGTGGCCTGGTGTGATGCTGAATCCCATGCACTGGTGGCTGAAGTGGAGGAACTGATGGCCGCACCCGACGCCTGGGAGCCACCTAAGGCCCAAGACTGGGAGGAAGACGAGCCCGAAGCAGCCTCTAGGGGTGGCACAGCCAGTGGGCATGAGTTGTGGCCGCCACGCTGTGCCCAGGGGGTTTGGTCCCTGGTGGAGTCAGTGGTGCAGCGTGTGGAGGGGCTGGGGATTGAGCACAGGGCCCACTACTTAAGGAACGTGGCTGGCCCTGGGCTTCAGGAGGTGCTTCGGAAGCTGGGTGCCATCGTGAAGCAGGCAGAGGCGTACAAGCAGCTGACAGCGCCCAACTGGGCAGCCAAGGTGCGGCCTGGGTTCCACATGTGATGCGGTCGGTTGTTCTTTGTCTTGAATGCTTCCAAGGGAATTGCCTTTTGGGAACAGTATCCTTGCCCCTTGGATGTTTGGGGAGTTTTTTCCTGGTGTCATCACAAGAACAGCTAAGGGTACCTGGCCTGACAGGTGCAAGGGCAGTGAACGCAAATCTGTGCGGTAGAATGTTTGGATTTTGATCCCTTTTTTAGCTTGGAATAGAGCGGCAGATTGCATCTGCAGCCTCAGATGCAGCTAAGTTGGGCTTGGGGTAAGAGTTACATGGCTGACTTCCTGAGTAAGGGGGTAGAAATCATCTGACTGTTTGTTTCTGCTGCAACCGGAAACATACAAATACATATTTGCTGCAAATACTAAAGGTGTTGCAAGCTGAACATTGCCTCACTGGTCAGAATTCGCTGCTGGTCATCACCTGGGTGTGGCTGGGTGCGGCACAAAGGGGCAACTCTGCATGCTCAGCTGTGTTTCTGTCCTGTCAATTTGGACTTTTGAATGATGGCACCAGAATTTGTGGCAAAGCAGTGATCACTGACATGCCAGTTGACCACAGCTGCTGCTGGTGGGCAGGTGTGTGGCTGTGCTTGTGCCGCCCATTACTTTGAACACCACCTTCAAGAGCTGGTGTACAATTCGTCGCTGTTGGAGGTGGGAGGCGCACAAGCTGTTTTTGGGAAAGAGATGAGCACATTGGTGGGCTTAAGGCGAGAGCAGTGCATGAAACTTGCCAAGGCCGTTGCAATGGAGTTCGGGCACACCTCTTCCAGCTACAGGTGCTGGTCACTGGCCGATTTGAGCCTGCTTGGCCTTGCCTCACGGAGGTCGGTTTTCCTACAGCAGCGATGAAAACTGCATGGACACACTGAATTCGCCAGCACTCCATGCTGAGCACAGGATGTATCTGTTCAACTATGTTGTTGGATTTTGCCAACCGCAATGCTCGACAATGGCAACAATTTTTGGATCATTCTATGGCCAGCTTGACCTCAGGGGAGGTTGCAGCCTTCTGTGATTGAACGCTGTCGATTGTGACTGACAGGCCATGATCAAACACCGGACAGCACTGCATGCGACGCATAGTAGGAGTGGGAGAAATTTTTGCATTGTTCGATTTGAGCTGGGTGTGGTGTTTATTGAGGCACTTACCTGCTCACTTCCATGACAGGAAGCAGCTCCATCTATTCTCAAGTGCTGATGGGGCGCAAACGAGCGCTGTGACACCGACACTTGCTGAAGCCATTGTTCAGCTGCATGAACGGTTTGCGATGCTCTCCACACTTATGGATGTTGTATGTTTCCGCGAGGTGTGGAGAGCCGTCGCAATGGCAGCGACAAGGTGTGTGCACATCGACGTGCTGCTCCTCAATTGGTGCTTTATCCAGTGTGCGGACCCCAGCAAGGTGCCATGGTGCTGCGGTGGCACTTCCTGCCAACAAGCAGCGGTGTTGAATGAATAAGTCAGCTTGGGGACAGCCATGCTGTTTGAAGGTGGCTATGCACATTTCGACACCACCCAACTTTCTGGCTGTAAACACAGCCATGCCGAATTGCCCGTTTGTGCTGGCAGTTGCTTTGCCTGTGCCACTTTGTGTGAAAGGCTGTTCACATTGCTGCTGGGACATTGCCTGGAATGGTATTGCCATGCATATGCTGCCCTGATGGCGGGGAGAATAAATATTTACACTCTGCACACTCTGGCAGAGTGATGTTCAACGACGTGGCAACCGAGGCGCACTTTTCACAGCAGGGGGCGCTGCTATTCAAGGCTGACTGCGAAGCCCTCATGGAGGTGTTTCGGCCATTCACTCCCCGACCGCACACACACATGAAGGTGTGGGATTGCAGCATGGGGACTGTGCAGAATTGCTGCGCATTATGTAGGCTGGCTATTATTGATTGCCATTGGCGTTGTTCGACAACTGGTATTGTTGCTGCTGCTGTTCCTTTTTCGTTATTGATGTCTCGCACTCACCAATTTTTGCACCGGCAACAAGTTTGCTGGGGAATATGCCATATATGCCACAAAACCACTGGTTTTACGAGGCAATATTTCAGACGGATGGAGTTGTTTGTCTGAACCACTGTGTGCCTGGCAACAAAATTTGATGCGAGAACGTAGGCAAGACAGATATGTGCTTCGACGTGGGTTCCTGAACATAAAGATGTTCCTTGCATTCTGCTTGCAGCAACATAAAGCAAAGTCATATGGCTTGCATCAGTGACTCATCAGACTATCATGCAGAACAAACTGCCGTGTGAGCTGAATTATTGAAGGAATGCGCCCCTGGTGGGTGGGGAATGGCAGGTGTTGTGTCCTTGTTTGCCGCGTGTTATTTGCCATTCAGCGGCCCTTCGCCACAATATTCGCACTGTGCACCGCCATTCTGCCGACGTCGCCTTGCAGATGGCAGGCAATGCTTTGCCGCCTTGTGCCAGAACAAATCCAACGGTTCGGTCACCGCGCAGGAGCTTCACGAGGCCTGCATCCTGTTAAACCTGCCGACAGACACGGCCAGGCAAGTGTACGAGGACTCGAAGGCACCGTCTCCGCGGAACGGGGTTTCCGCGCTGCTGAAGAGCCTCGGCGTCGTGAGGCTGAAGCCCGAACAGGCAATCTGCGTGCTGCTCCAGCGCATTTGACAGCAGTGGGCGCTGGCCACGCAGGCCGCCCTCCCCCTGGGCTGTGATGTGTTGCCGGCTCTCGTTCTTGTTGCACCCGATTTATGCCCAGGAACATTTGCATGCTCGGTTGCGGGCGTTGGGGGTGGTGCGCCAGTGGGGCGGTGCAGTTGCCAATGCCAGTGTGTCCGTTTTGTTGAGGGGCTGAGAGGAAACTGTTGAAAACTGGCAGGTTCCCGGTCGTGGTTGTGTTTAGCATTTCGCCTTTCTCGGGATTGGGCTTGTGTTGTCCCCACGCGGTGACGAAATTGCCAGATGGAGCATTTGGCTGGCAAGCGGGTTGGGTTGGTCCAGGTAGTCTGCATAGCAGGCGTTGTGCAGGAGCCGCGAGCTGTGCGATGGTAGGAGCAGTGGCTGGAGTCGGCTTGGAATTCGATGGGGGAGGTGCTTGTGCACCTGAGTACTGTCGGGTGGGCAATCGCCTTGGAGTTGGACAAAACGGTGCAATTGTACGAATGTGGAGATGTGAGGTTGTGGGCCGACAGCGACGGGGCATGGTCAACAACACTGCAGGTGGTGTAGTCACTCACTGAGTGGACTTTGGAAATTTGATGGCTGTCCGCCTGATGGCCGTCAATAGGATGAAAGATGTGGGCGAAGACACTATTTTGAATTTTGCATGCTTAGTGTCAATGTGACGTTAACCTCAGAACTCCCCCCTCCCCCCCTTCCTTAGCGGCAATCCTTGGTTCGATTCCAGCATGACTCAGCAACATTACCCAACAATGTCAAACAACTTCAAAATAGTTTGCAAGAGAAAAAACGACCGAAATTGTGAAGATTGCAGCAATTTGGAGAATGTGATCATCGCCAAAAGCCACAGTGGGCGATGGGAGCGGCCCCAAACCTGAAAGTTGATCCATTCTAGGGACTTCCTCGAAGATGGAATGTTTTGAGGCAGGTTTTGCAACAAGCCATGAGATATCGGCCACTGACCAGTGGCCTTTTTGTGCATCTTCCCACCTCATTTTGATTATAGTGCAGATACATAATTTCTTAGCGTCAGTGGCCGGACCCATCTCCCCATTAACGTCAATTTGACGCTAAGAGTACAAAATTCAAAATAGTGCCTTCCCTTGGCTATATACGAACACCCAGATATGTTGGCATGCTGCTGTGGCAATGAACAGAAACGGCGGCCATTCGTTGCTTTGGTTCTGTCGTTAGTTGCCGCAAGAAGGTTTGTTGAACCAATCAGCCAACCAGTCCGTCAGCTGATCCATCGGACTGTCAATCAATCATTCAGCCACTGTCCATAGCTATGGCACTATGATGTGCAACCTCCAAATTGCGTCGCCCCCAACACACCTGTTTCAAATCTGGTTTTACACAATGTCGCCGACTAGGCAGTCTGAGAGCATCCGGTATGCATATCCGCCGCAGATAGGTGGCCGAAGCGCAATTGACATTGTGCGACTTGACCCTGTCGTAACGCAGGAAACACTCATGATGCACGTTAGTCAGCAATGTGACATTGCGGTCGAAAACGCGGGACGAATGCCCGCAAAACACCCATTGTAACCACTGCTTGATGGCCTTGAAACGGGAACAGTCGCCGTCCCCTTCCATGCGGGTGCTAGCAGTCCGCCTTGTAATGTCCGAGGAACCTCCCAAAAAAGCTGCGAGTGGAATTGGATCCGTCATCCCACGGTGGGCGCATGGGCAGGTATTTGTCATTTTTTGGCAAACGTGATGACAGGATTCACCCTAGGTCATGTCCCATGACTTCATTGCAGTAGAGGATCCTTTTTCACGAGCTCAGATTCCGCTTTCTTCAATTTCAGGCGACTCAGGCTGTCCCTCAGGCTCTTCTTAAGTCCCATTCTTTGATTGGACGTCAGTCCGTACGTGGTCCGGTCCACTCGCAGTACGGTTGTAGGCGTGGCACCCTGTCGACAGCCGGAGCTCTCTGCTGCATTGGGCGCCTGGTGGCTATCCTGTATGCACCCGTGCCGACGAGGCTGTCTGACGTGGAATCGATAGTTTTTGGAATTTTCGGGAGAACCTGAAGTTTTCGAGTGTGTGGAATCCAAACTCTTGACATGAAATCAAGAGAGTGCCGATGTCCCAACAACAAACAGAATCTTGTTTCACACTCTTGCAAGAACATGATGCAAACGCCGGACGCGTTCGCCAATGGTTCAGAACGGCGACCATCAAGAGTTTTCGGGACAGTAGCCTCAAAACACTAGAACATGCCTGTTTTGTGTACAATTTTTGTCCATGTTGGAGCATCGCATACTACAGATTTCATACTGTGCTTCAATACTGGAATGCATTACTACTTACCACAAATGGCCCATGTGTCAAATTTCAAATTGAATTCTGTTCAAGTCATCCATGGAATAAACGAGGGCCCGTACATCCGCACTTGCCACGCTATCGTCGGATGACTGCGTCTCGTCAGTGGCGTCGTCGTCGTCATTGTCCTCATCGGTGGAATTTTCTTCCCCCTCGGAGCTTTCCGTGCCACTGTTGCGATCAGATTCGTCTGCAGCACGAAATCGAGCTGGTGTGTGTGCCCGAAGATGCATGTTGACGGGCATGCCTCACAGCAAGAATGCGTGATACATTTTACGGTTTACCGTGCTACGGGAGCCACCGAAGCAGGAGTGAAGCGGAGACAGGAGTATGCACAAAAGCAACAATGCAAACTGTGGGTTTTGAACATTTGATACGGCTGGATGAAGTCCAAATTTGAAATTAAAGCTGAGGAAATCAGCTCAAATTCTGAGATTCAAAATCAAGTTTGTAATCAAGCTCGAACACAGTTCTCAGGCGGCGAGGCGCAATGCCTCTCCCAAGTGCTGGTGAAGCCAGAGAATTTTACATAGCCGTCTAATGTCATTCAAGATCAGAATCAGTTATTTTGCAAGAGCAAGCACAAATCAACGGTGGGCTAGATTTTCCAAGTATCTCCAGACATTGTAACTGCCAACTCAACCGTCGCGATCTGGCACCGTTTGGTGAGAAGTAGATACAGCAATGTATGATAGCTACTGCAAGCTAATCACGTAACCGCTTCGCCGACAAGAAGCCCCTTCACTTAATTGTATTGTCCTCCGGGAGTACACACGACCCCGTGGTTTCCTCGTCAATTTTGACCTCTCTGTGGGAAGGGACCAAACTGTAAAATGCCCCAACGGCGTTCTGAATGGAGTAGTTGTTGACATATCACATTCTTCATTTCTGGCACCTCGATTTTCGATACAGATCTTGGCATTTCTTCATGCACGTTCGACGTCGTTTGCGTATTGCACAAACTTTTTTTGCTTCAGCAGTATCGTGTGGAACAGGTGTGTTTAAAGAATGAACCTTCCTTCCACAGGAGACCACTGTGGCCAAATGCGCACACTTTTGGACGACGTGGGCAGGTCAGAGTGATGTTCAGAGCCAGGCCCTGCACCCACTCTGACAGAAAATGTCATTTTGGAAAACGCCGGTGTGAATCAGAAAGATGTTACGTCCAAATTCATGATCATGAATCAGAAGTACACGCACTTGACACCATTCATTTTGGACTGCATTGCTCATGTTGAGTGACTGCATCTACAGTGGACTGGCAGCCGCTCACCCAAGTGCCGTTTTTCCTCGAGGAGGCAATGGAACTGCTGAAGGATCGAATTTGATGGCTCCAGTGCCACACCTTGTACAAAGATATTCTTCACTGCCTGGGCTTTCCCCAGATGGGTGGAAACAGGCAAAAGTAGAGTGCTTGTGGGGAATGTTTATCTTCTTTTGGAATTTTTTACACGCTTCTCGTCCCGTTTTGATGTAGCCAGAGCTGACTTTCTCGAAGTTAAGTGTCTTTCAACAGAGAGTTAGTGTTGCACACAGACCCACAGCTCTTTGGTATGGATGTGATATGTTACACAGCGTAGGTCTAAAAGCAAATCGTATGGTTATGTTAAATGTTAGGCGTTGGTAATGCATAGTCGGATAAAAAGTGCCTTTCCACTGATTTCCACCAACGAAGTGCTATGCTACATGTGAAGCCTTCTGTGCACAAAATACCATGATACTATGAATTGTCATATTATCTTCAAGTTATCATCCTGTTATCAAGTTGTGGATGCTGCCAATTGAGAAATCCGATTCACTGCAAAATGACTGCTGAAAAGAAGTTGCTCAGGCAATGAAAAGCACATGTGTGTACACATGGTTTTCCTTTGGTGGATCTAGTAGTCTCAGATTGGCACCATCTATTCGTCGTAAAAATGAACAAGGGCACAAGGGAAGCGCTCTGTGCATTTTGATTTACCCATTTCAACCAGTTCCAGGGCTTTGCAGAAGTCCTTCCGCCACAAAGCTGACATCAAATTGTTGTGGATCTGAAGAAGGCACTGGCATACTTTAAGCTCCATTCGCCATATTCTTATGATAAGAATGCAACAAAAGCACTCCTGTGGTGTAACGCTTCGCCAGTACTAGCAGAACACGTTGGAACTTAAAGTGCACCCACTTTCGCATTCTGTATGAGCATTCAATGGCGGAAGTGCACATGCCACTGTTCAAGTGTTGCCTATTGACAGCCGATGTTGCGTCGCATTGCTTCTGAATGGATGAAATGCTAACTGCGTTGAATTAAGCTAGTAAAGGACGACTGAACATGACAGAAATCTCCTTCTTGTTGCCAATGTTTCCCATCACAACTCAGTGCAGTGCCGGCATGCCACGCACAAGATGATGAGCGCATGTGCTTCCACAGCGCCTTCTTCCCAATTGGGCACAATGTCTTGAACCGACCCATGCACACACAGCATCAACATACGGCAAGGCTTCGCCCATAATGTTTGAGGTTCTGAGGACTTCACGTATCCAAAACTAATGCACTGTGCTCAGGCTATATTTTGGGCAGGGGTTGGCTTCCCCTTGACCCTTTCAACTCTTTTCTAACGCCTGCGCCAGAGTGGATCAGCGTCATCGTACAGTCCCAGCGGAATACTGTGAATCAGGTTCAATGCAACCTTCCACAGCAACATGTCTGGCAAGAAGGCCCCTGGATCTCTGTTGCCCAACACCAACAGGAAGGAATGCGACAAGCGCTCGTTTCGAATAACGTCTTCAGATGCTGTCGTTCAGCGGGCCGGCCCCCGGTCATTTGCTGCGACTCCAAAGTTAGATCAGCCTCCTCGCACGACAACAGCTAATCGCCCTACGCTCCCACCCCCACAACTACCACTCCTCGCGCCTGTAAGATCCCCGCCGTAGAGCCCGAAGCGCCCAGGTTGCTCCGCTGGGCTGGGCCATATCGTCGTACACGATTCGATAAACCTCTTCAGCTTTGGAGGGAAAACCCTCCGCGCACCTGAACCATGCGCGCCTTCCTCGCCGCCTCGAACGCGCCCGCGGCGGCCGCCGGCCGCGGCGCACCCCCCCCGCCGTCGGAACCCATTCCCTCCCCCCGGCCGCGCGGACTGTTCACGGGCGACCCTTGGGGCAGATTTACACCGAAGGTGGGACACGGGGCCCAGAAATGGATCCAGGCCACGTTCCATCACGTCCCATCACGTTGCACTCATCCGTTGACAAGTTGGGCACCCTGCCACAACAATCGCAGAACCCCTCCCCACCCACCCCCATAGCGCTCGAGCTGCAGGGGCACGCCATGGCGGCGTCCCTGATTGGCGCGGGACGCGCGGATGCGCTTCTTGGAACCTCTAGGAGCGCGTCGATCGGCAGAGTTCCCTCCGGGCTTCGGGCCCAGCTCCCGGGGGAGAAGCATCCGCGCGCCATGGAGGCTGGCACGGTGAGCGTCGCCGCGGGGATGGACGCCGCTGGCCGGCGCCGGTGGTCTTCCAGTTGGGCTCTACGCGTTGCGGTATCTTCGGGCAGCAGACTGGGTGGCCCATGGCGAAAGCACGGTGCACAGATTAGCGGGCCGCACAAGATTGGCAGCTGTGTGTGCCGCTTCTGTCGTTGGATCGTCGTTTGGATTTGGGGAACAAGGCGGGGCCAATGTGCCTTGCAGTTGATGTCGGACAGTTGTACATCCGCATTGCGCGTCTGTAACCATAGTGGATTTGCTCTTCCGTCGCACAATTAATGAGGCAGGGGTCGAGGGCAGCAACGGGGTTTTGACGACCGGCGCTGTCAAACGAGTCTTGTAAAGGAAATCGTTGAGGAAAGAGCATTATTGCAGGCCACCGCGTTCTTCACTGCTGTGAAAAGAGCGTCTGCAGAGGTGTTTGCTTGATGGAATTCTGCCTCTTGAAAAGAAAGCCTATGGTTGTCTTTTCCAGTCGGGCGGCTCCAGTGCGTATGAGGAGCTTGTGAAGATGGCAGTGGATCGAGAGCCTGGCCTGGCAGCCCTGGCGCAACAGCACCTGAAGGCCAGGGGGGCAGGCTCTCGGGGCGCTGCGTCCTCTGTCGTGGGCCCCAACCCTTCAACAGCTTTGGCAGGGGGGACAAAGCCCCCTTGGTTGAGGCAGCGTGGTGCCCAAGGCGCAAAGTACAACCACCTAAAGGAGCAGCTGCGGGGACTGGAGCTGCACACTGTGTGTGAGGAGGCACAGTGTCCAAATATTGGGGAGTGCTGGAATGGGGAGACTGGCACAGCAACGATCATGCTGCTCGGTGAGGTTGATGGCTTGTGCTTTAACATGAATCTGCACTGATTGCACTTGTCCACATATTGGCATTTGTGAGACCACAGCGACCACCATCGCCTCGTAGCTGCAATGGCATTACTTTGTAAAGGGTGCATAATGGACTATTATTCATTATTAGGCAATGCCCTTCCATTAGTCACTGGCGTTCTACCCATTGTGCCCTGCCAGGTGCTCTGTGCATGCTTCTGCATATTCTAAAAGTGCTTTTGTTCAGATTCCCCACTGACGACCTCAAAGTTTCAGCTGGCCTGCAGTGGCAGTGCTAGCCAGATGATTGGCCAAGAGTACAGCTGTGGTCTACAGAAGCGATCGGACTTTCTTGTTTGATCGTTGGGAAATGGTGGGGCCCACCACGATGCAGGCCACCCATGGTGAATGTGGGAGCCAATGGAGTCCAGATGACAGTGATGAAAGCAGTGGGAGGCATAATTGTGGGGAAAGCCAGCCCTGGGGAATTGTGGGAAAGTATGGTAGACAAACCTTGCTTTCTTAGTGCTACACTGTGTGCTGCAGGGGACACCTGCACAAGAGGCTGCCAGTTCTGTGCAGTCAACACTGCTCGTACACCACCACCCACAGACCCCAACGAACCTGAGAACACAGCCAGGGTGGGTGTAGCCTCAGTGACATCGTACTGTTAGTCACCTGGACTGGACTCAGTCAGCATGGAATGGTGTGGAGACAGCAATATTGTGCTGTGAATGAGAGCTTTTTCGAATTGTCCACCTGGGATATTGCAATACCATGTAGGTATCAATAGCTCACAATACTTGAACTTCCTAAGTATGGATAGGTAGCTTTAAGCGTTGTCAGATTTGGCGCTGTCAAGCGACACACCAGTTTTGAGCAAGTGCACGCTGCATCCCAGTTCTTATCGCGGGCAACATGGAACAACTCGAAATTACTGTAAATAATTGTGCCTCCTTCAAAGCCCTTGTTGATCAGCGCACAACATTCTAACCATATCGTGGGGCCTCAGGCAATAGCATCTTGGGGCGTTGGCTACATTGTGCTGACTTCAGTTGACCGCGATGACCTACCTGATGGGGGTGCCAGCCACTTTGCGCGCACAGTCCAGATCCTCAAGGACCTCAGACCGGACATCCTGGTGGAGTGCCTCACGCCTGACTTCAGGGGAGATTTGGAGGCGGTTGGGCACCTGGCATCATCTGGCTTGGATGTCTATGCTCACAACATCGAGACTGTCGAAAGGCTGCAGGTGGGGTGGCCATGTATCCCACATATGGGCTGGCGATTTTTGTTCCTTGCAATGCGTAAATGTTGCCTGCCATGAGCAGATTGTCGGCCAAACATAGTCCATTGTCGCTGCTGATAGGCAGCCAACCTCAATCTCTTTCCGTAGCTGTGCTGAGTACAACAATTGTCAAGAATTGTGGCTACAGGCGGGATGAACTGGGTGTCCATGGACTTGCTCCTTCTATTGGGTTGTTTTCTCGGAGGGCAGGTTGCTCTCTCGGTGTGTTACTATTGAGCACTGACAGTTTTCATTACAATTTTTACTTTAAGTGATTTGATTCCTTGCCTTCACGATCGCTTCCTAAAGGCAGCACTCTTCCAGCCTGGCTGTGCATGTGGTAGAGATGAGGAGGGGGAAAGCTTGCCCCACCTGGTCGCACAATGGAAATAACGTATCGCCAAAAGCGGCCTGGATAAATTGCACATTGAACAAACCAAAGTTCACACTAAAAGATTGTGGATTTGGACTGTCAATTAAATTATGGGTGGTTACCACAGCTTCTTGGCACCCAGGGGTTTCCATTGCCATAAACAGAGAAGCAATCGGTTTGAAACGGGCTTTGTCATCGTTTCTGCGTTTGGGTTGCTGTGAGGATGGCCATGTGGTGCATCACATGACATGCACCACACATTCAGCACTTTCAGGGATCGCCTTGTTGCCCAAGGTCCCTGAGTGTATGAGAGCACTTGGTTTGTATGCACCCAGTATAATTTGCTTGGCACCCAATCTCAAGCTTCATGCCAGGGTGCGCTCAAGCAGGCGTTGTTTGAGGTACTCTTGTCACGCTGGCTGTGCAGAGGCCTGTCCGCGACGCTCGTGCAGGGTACTTCCAGTCCCTGGATGTGCTGAAGACAGCTAAGGCAGCGGGCGTCACCACAAAGTCGTCGATCATGCTAGGCTTAGGAGAGACTGACGACGAGATCATCGACACGATGTACGATCTCAAGGATGTTGGAGTGGAGCTACTCACATTGGGACAGTACCTGCAGGTAGCGACCAAAGATGGGTCTCTAAATTGTAGGAAACATCGCATGTAATTTGGACCTGTTGCCGAGCAGTATCTGTGTTTGGGCCATCCTTGTCATTGTAGATGATGTCACAGTGGCAGGCATATCAAAAAACTGATTAGTGACAAATGTCAGTCCCTGCCAGTTCCCCGATTGCTTCTTTTCTTCTCTCCGCTTGAAAAGCATGGACAGTCGTTGCCTTTGTTTTTTCACTGGCCACCTATGTCACTGCTGTCGTTGCTTGTTGTCTTGACTTCAATCGCTGACGCCAGTGCATCCAATTGCAGTTCATATCAGGTTATGGCCTTCTGGATGACTTGCAGCATTTCTATGTGAGCAATGACACAGGGCTTGAGCAGACAAATGGAAATCGTGACCATTCCTTTGACAGTAGAGTGATTCTGTGAAAATTGGCAGGGTTTCAAGCCCGGACTGTGAGACGTTCAGTGGGCAACGGCAAACAAAGCACTCATCAGTTGTAGCAAATGTGGACAGCATCCAATATCACCAATGGACAAAGGAGCAGCGCATTGCAGTGTCATTATTCATGCTATTGTTCATATTGTTTCAGCAATTGTTTATTGATAATGTGAAGGTAATTTGTGCTGTGCCACAACAGCCCCTTGTTGCACTGTTGGCTTGCTTTGTATGCAAACAGGTTCAAGGTTTTCAGTGTTGTTGTGTGTGCTCTGGTATGCAGCCATCGGGAAAGCACCTTCCAGTGAGAGACATGGTGACACCAGAGAAATTCAAAGAATGGCAAGATTTCGGCACAAACGTTGTGGGGTTCAGGTATAGGTGCAATGAGGGTGTCATTCACAGGGTTTGGCTTTCTCTTTCTGGAAATCAGCTCTGTGATTGCAGTGCAACTTAAAATGTTGCCCAGGTGAAAACCGTCCACTGCTCAACACTCTAAGCACCCTTCACAACTCCCACCACTCAGCATCTCATGATGCAATTGTCGCACTCGTTGCTAATCATCAGTGCCCACCATCGACCCTCAAGGTAGAGGATTGTTTGCTTCACCTCGTTCGCACAGTTACGATCAGTAGATTGACACCTGTTGAGGCAATTTCCCATACTTTCATGCTATGCCATGGTCAGTTTCTGAACAGATGTGCACAATGTGTCTTGCCATGGAACAGCTGGCAAATGGGACAGTGTGCAGTATGTGGCCAGGATCACAAATCCACAGATCCACAAATGCAGACGTACACAATGGATGCCACAGGATTGGCTGCACCGATGTTAAACTGATTGTTGAAGAAATGTACAGGGAACCATGCCAACAACGATCGGCCACTTTGTTTGAGAGGAAAATGGCGTTTGTACTGGCAGCAATGCCCTTGAAACCTGAGGTTTTCTGGCTGTGCAGGTATGTGGCCTCTGGTCCGTTGGTACGATCTTCGTACAAAGCTGGAGAGCTATTCTTGGAGTCCCTGCTGAGAGAAAAGGCTGCTGACAAGGCGACCGACAGTCTCGTGAACGTCTAGGACTGATGGTCAGGTCCTTTACTTTACTTGGGGGTTTACTTGCTCTCGACCTGGCAGGGGCAGCTATGAACATAATTGTGTGGTGGCCATCGTCGGATGTGGAATTCCTTTCTGTAAGATATGGTTTGTTTCTACCTTGACAGTGATTCAGCAGCTCAAAGACTCTGGCCATCTTGAACCCATCAGAATGCGGCAAGCCAAACATGTGCTTGTGAAATGTGCTAGCAGATGTGGGATGGAGTTGCAGTTGTGGAATCTAGGTATGATGGCAGCATCCAAGTGTTCTGGTGGCGGCTCGTTGATGCTGCATTGGCACCCAGCGTTGACGATGCCATGTTCTACCACATGTTGTACCAGATATACCTCGATGGTACTCTGCGGGTCTGTGATGTGTCGGTACAATTATTTGCAGATACAATGGCAGGGGACGTGGTGATGCTGTTGGCGATTAGAGCAAGTATCCGGCAACGAGCTCACAAACCTGACCCCAGCCCAGTCTCCAACTCGCCTCGCCTCGTTGTGCTTGTGTATGGTGGTGTTTTCCCACGTGATGAAAGCCATCAAACCATAATTCATCCAGTTCACTCATCACAAGCAGGCGATCCACGAACATGCAATTTGCATAACCTGTGGAATTCAGTAAAGTACAGAGCTCTTGTCTTGATTCCAGAGTAATACATTATTCGTATGAGTCCAGATGCCATCCCTGTCCCAACCAAAGACATGCATCCTTCTGCCACCTAGAAAGAAAATGCAAGGCAAAAGTACCAGTTTCCAGATGAGCATGTCAACTGACCAGCATGCCCCGGACTGCCACATTTTAAACCACAGGCACAGTCCTGGCACGATTCTGGTCCTTTTCTGCCAAAGCAACCCCCGTCGACCCGAAGCCACCCTCTCCCCTCTCTGTCTCCTCCAGTTCTGCCACCTCCTCAACGTCAGGAGTGATAATGCGCTCAAGAATTAGTTGTGCGATCCTGTCACCCCTCTTGACTGCAAGCAAAGCACACCGATAGAGTGTCATTCCTGTGGTCTGGCCAACTTGTGGAAGGCCAGGTCGTGTACCGGAGAGCATGAGCATCATTCATCAGGACCGTAATTGTTTCTGTGACCAACACACAGCAGCCCTTGACATGCAAGTGCAGAGTGCCTTGTCATCTTCTCTGTAAGATGCGACAACAGATGACTGACATGCCTTTGGTTTGCATCCCTAGTCACTGGAGAAGTCATAAACATTCACCAAGCATATTGGCACCGTGTTGTCCTAGACCAAGAACGTAATCCCGTGTATTAAGTAAGTAGAGTCCACAGTGATGTGGATGGCTGTCAACCAAGTATAACTCTTGGCTGAAAGTAACTTCACAGCATGCACTGCTCACCCATTGACGTTGAGATTGTGCCCTTTTTTCACACTGAAGTTTGAGTGCAAAGAAGCGTGTTCACAAGGAACAATGTCCATTGCCATCGCAATCACCACGAGATCTTCTCAGCTCAGAATTTTCGTTAGCACAGAGGATCGTGAGTGACGCAGAATAGAATCTCTCAGCAATTGCAGCGCCAAAGACTTTGGTCAAGGAAATTTGGACACGGCCGGGTTGCCGAGTGAAGTTGTTGAGAACAACTTCACCGTGCGAGCATCATATGCGACCAATTTAAATACATGGGAAACAGTGTTCGTGCTCCCTCCTTGATTACAAACACTCGTGCTCGCTTGCAGGTGGCGGGAGTGACCTTGGAAGTCCTCGTCGCCGTGGTTGAAGAGAATGACGCCCAGGGCCCCCCGATAGTCCTCGTCAATGACCCCCGCGCCGACGTCTATGAAATTCTTGATCGCCAGCCCGGAACGCGGGGCCACGCGGCCATAAGTGCCGCTGGGGATCCCCACGGCCAGGCCCGTCTTGATGAGAGCCTTCCCTCTCGAAGGCACGACGAAGTCATCCGCACTAAAGTCAAGAACAATCAAATCAAGGACGGCAGGGTTAAAACAGACGAAGCAAAGCGGAAGGCGCAATGCTCCTTCCGCGAGAGAAGAACTTGGGTGCTCGCGTGCGGCCAAAGTATACCGCGCGTCGGGCCACAAACGAGGCTGCTAACTTCCCCGCGCGTAAGGGAGCCAAAAGGCGACGGCAGACCGCCTCGGCAATGCATTGCGGATCAGGCACCAACGCAAGATGGCGGCAGGGGATCGCACAATGAGCACCGCCGTCCCAAAACAAATCTCTCGGGATTCTCTCGGCGTAAGTGGCGATTTCGCGGGCTCCCGGCGCAATCCAAAGTCCGAGGCCAGAACCGGGCGGCGGGGAAAATTCGCGCGCGGGATGATAGCTGGCGGCGCTGAAGCGCGCGCGGACGCCGGTGGTCGCGCACCTGGAGAGGTCGTATCCCGCCGCCCCCGGAGAACCCCTCCTCGGCAGGACGGCATGCTCGCACAGCTTCTTCACGCGCAGCCGGACCGACTCCAGCTTGGGCCGCTTGCTGGGCCGCGAGAACTCCTCCACAATCACTGGGCGGTTTTCGGCCATCCTCGCAGCGCGGCGCAGCCAGTGCACACCCAGGGGGAGGGGGGGATCAATGGGCAGGGAGGGCTCACCAGCAGTGCGCGAGGCGGGCGGAGTGGCTGGCTGGGCTGTGGTCGGTGAGGGAGCCCCTGCGAAATAAGAAGTGGCGCGGCGGGCGCCAGAGCTTCCTGGCGCCAGATTGCCTCTTTGGCCAGAAAGCGCGGGAGTCAGGTGGCAGGCGACTGGATTATTCAGACTGGAGGGACACCGCGGCTGGGTAGGGCGGGCTGTGCTTGTCACACATTGTGCCTGTGACTTGCTGCGGCATAAAATTACTGGCTGCACCAAATCGGTGACTGCTTGCACCAAGTCACGTGCACATCATGTCCAACTCCGTCCAAACTAACCTAACCTAAAACCTAAACCCTAAAACCTAAAACTAGACCTGTCCTAACCCTAACCCTAAAGCTCATTCTGAAACTAAACCTAACCCTAAAATTGAGGTTAGGACAAAGTGTGCACGTGACTTGGTGCAAGCAGTCACCGATTTGGTGCAGGCAGTAATATTATTTCACTTGCTGCGTCCTTGTTAATATAACTAACTATCCTGTTAATGAGTTTCTGCGAAGGGCGACGATTGGGAGGGCGCGTAACGGCTAGGTTGGGCCGTTCCGCCCACTGGACAGTTTGGGGCCATCCAGCAGCCGGTTTCTGTCACCCCTGTACTCGGGGTCAGTGCTGCCCGGCGTATCCAAGGGAGCTTGGGTTGATCTTTGTACCTTGGGCGCAGCCAAGGGGACTGGTCAAGCTGGCCCTTGGGTTTGGCGGGGAGTTTGGCGGCAAGTGGGAGTGCTATTTCAGGCGCGACCCTTGGCGCCCCCCTTATCTTGTTTCGCACCCGCCCCGCCCACCCGAATAGAGTGAGTTCGGTTAGCTGTGGGATGGAGAGGGAGTTGAGTACGAGGAAAGAGGAGCTGACTCTGGGCTGAGTCACCATCAGGGTGGCATTAAGTACAATGCGAAGCGAGGGGCACATTTCAAGTGGGTCGCCAATTGGGTCTTGTATTAGTGAGGTGATGGACACCAAACTGTGTGTGTTGTAATGTATTGCGCGTGGGGAACACGGGGGTTGAAGGAGACCGGTACAGCAGAAATGCGAATGCATCATTGGGCGAGTGGGTCCACGCTGTTGACGACGAACCCGCTTTCCCGCGGGACGTCACAAGGGCGGATTTACAAAGTCACTATTGTGTAAATGCGCAGTAGTTTTATTGCTGTACACACTATTGTGGATGCTTTGCAATAGCCCTTTTTTGAATGGCCCTCCAGTGCTCCAGGTGTTTGGCTGGACTTCACAATTTTTGTGTTGCACATGTGGCATGAGCTTGCGGCACATTACGACATGAGAATGGGCGACTTTGCACCAGTCAAATGCGAACTTGTTTTCATTGGTGACATCTTTTTCAACTGGACATTTATCGCAGCAACGTCCGCTGAAGAGGAATGTGCTCATGACTGAATCATGAGCATTTGATGCAAGGTGTGCCGATTTCATTGTAGCGGCCAACACGCCGTTGTTGCGTTGTGCAAAGCACATCCATTTGTCGGCTTTCTTTTGTTAAGGCCGCCTATTTACAATGGCATGTTCCCCTTTCCACTGGGTGTTCTGCGATCCATGCGTGCAGGATGGTATGTCTGCTCTGATGTTAGCAGAGGACGATGGGCACATCGGTTTACGGTATTTGCTGTTGGAGATGACCGGACAGGTTGTGCCCATCAGGGCGTGGATGATAGGTACGCGCCTATCCTCCAGGTCCAAGAAGGCTGACGTCGGCAGCGTTCGTGGGCGGAGCAGTTAATTGGTGGGGTGGGTGCGTGTTGACGGCACTGATAGTTGACGTCTTTTTCATGACTGGAACTTTGGCTGCTGTCACTTGTTCACATCCTAATTAGAAATAGCGCCTCCGTTCGCCCCCAAAGCACTGCGCCCTCCACCTCACCCCACGGACACGCCAGGAGTGACGCGCGTTGGAGACATGGGCGGCCCCCTCCCCTTGGCGCTGGCGCTCGCCCTGCTGCTCGCCAGCGGCAGCTCCGCTCCCGTTAAGTACGACACGGCTCCCAAACGGTAGGCCTCAGGAGAGAGCGACGCGATTCGGGCCCCGATCCGCGCGCACCGCTGGAGGGGGCCAGCAATGAACTAGCCCACGTGGCGCGCAATTGGCCCTTGTGAGCGCCTTGGCGATCCGAATGCGGGTGTGGGGGAAATCGCGCGTTGTGGGGGGCGAAGATCCGCGGCGCTACTCTCTTCCGGCTGCAGCCCTGGCCTTCCAATTGATGTTTGACGGGCGGGTGGGTTGGCGGGTGGACGGCTCGTTGGGAAGGGGTCCCTGGAAGAGAGCCTTGTGCCCTGAGGCCCGAAAGAGGGGGTCGAGAGGCCTTGGCCAGCGGCGCTGTGCGGCCGGTGTTTGGACGCCACGCGAACATTTACGAGCGACAGCAGAGTGTAGGGGGTTCGTTGACGCGCATGTGGAACGCCGTTGCGCCGCTGCGGACAGTTTTTTTTTTCTGAATCGAGTGCTCCGTCAGATTGTGCGGGGGTGGCGTTGCCCGCGCCGCCTTCAAGGGATGCTTGCAGTTGCTGGAGCCGTGTCCTGGTACAGAATCTCTTGGCGACTGTGCGCGTTGACGAGGCTGCGTTGTGCGCATGGCCACTTTTCGACCGGTCAGCGCCGAAGCTTCCTGGTGAAGTTTCAGAAGGGGATCTGGATGCGACGATGGTCGCCCTTGTTTGAAGTCTGCACGGTCTGTAGGATTCCCCATCCAGTCTGGTCTCCTCAAGTGCAATTGCTTTGACAAGACACTTTGCACGGCCTTGCACCTGGAGGCCATGACAGCTACTTTGGCCATACCCTAGTTGATTTCAGCAGGGGCGCGAATGCCCCACACAGCCCCTCCACCCTCAGCCTGGACCAAGCGTGCGCTTCTGCTCCCTGACGTGTGTCGCATGTTGCTGCGTGCCATCCTGCGAGCGGTTGGCAGTTCTGCGTGTGGTGGAATTGTCCTTCTCAGCGCAAAAGAATGGAATGCGCACACTTTTGCCAGGGTGCAATGAACGCTCTGGACAGCTGGAAATCAATCAGATAGCAAGCATTTGGATGTTCATGTGCCAATCACGACGTCCCAAACTGCAAAGGCACTGTTCTGCCCTGTTTGCGAAAATGTAGTTGTGTTTGCGCACTTCTGTGTCCATATCATCGGCCCCTGGCGTGGTGCACAGGGAGCGGAAAAGATATCTTTACAAAGTCAATCTGAAGCACACACACAGCACAGTATGTCTCAGACCCTGTCTGTTCCCCTTGACTGCCAGATAGACAATTCGCTGTGTTCAAATTTCCCGCGTATTCTCAAATGGAAAGTGGCACTATCTTTCTGTCATGCCATGGCAGCGGAATGCATCGGATAGCCTCCAGTTGCCAGCAGTTTGTGTGTGGGGATGCTCAGAGGGTCTTTACCTCGTGCAGGGATGGGGGAAAAATCACTGCCCATTTGGTGCCACACACGCACGATGACCCTGGATGGCTGAAGACCTTTGACCAGTACACTTTTGGAATCAAGCAGCACATTCAGGTGACACTGAATCTGTTTTTGCGACAAGAATCCCACATAAGAAAGCGAAATCATTGGAATAAATTTGGTGGCTGTTGTTGCAAAGTGTGTTCCCTTGCAACTGTTGGTTCCAGCCTGCAGGAAATGAAAGGAAGGAAGAAACCAGCTTTATTATCCAGAGGAACTGTGGTGCAAGCGCCAGGAGCACATTCTGTTTTACCGAATGGCCAAGACATGCATCAGTCTGTGGCATCCGTGAATCGTACAGATTTGTCAGCTGAGTATCTGCCATGCAGGGATCACTTTCCTTGTCTGGTAGAAGTTGGCAATCAGTGCAAGCAGGACAGTGCTTTTTCGTTGATGCTACAGATGTGAATTCTGCAGGCATCGCAGCTGTCAGATGTGCAGTGCATTGTCCATTCAAATGACCCAGCCAACTCTTGGAACAGTTGCATTTGCAGCATCACTATATGCATGAGAATGAAGTGTAGCTCCTGTTGTTGGATGTGCGTGTTGCACACCATTCTGTTAACAAAGCATGATAGATCATGCCTGAACAAACATGGACAGCCACAGGGCCCTTAAGAAGAGATGAAATGACTGAAAAGGCAGTGCAAGTGTGGCAAGCCTGAGCCAATAGTGATGATGAATAAACAAACATGGCCAGTTGTAAGGATTGCGGCTGTGACATCAAGGTACAACCAACTGGACCAGCAATAGCACCTGTTCATTTCGCTGTGGGATTGTGAAGATGGTATCACGATCCCCATAAGGGGGCAAAAGCAAGGATCTTGGTTATGCAGGATATGCACAGAGCAAGTAGCAGGAAGCATGAAACAGGGCAAAGCAAAGAACCTGAGTATGATGCACCTATTTCACAGACAGTCAGCAGCACGGTCATCTTTTGTGAATCTGTATGAAGAAAGCAGTCCATGGGCAACAGCCCACTTTTCATTGTTCTGTTTGATTCCGAAATCTCACGCCAGCTCTGAAAGTGATGGAACGTTGTGGAATACAGGAAATCCAACATGATGTGTCTGGGGGACTTGCATCCCTTTGCTCTGACTGTGTGTGCTGCTTCCCTATAATCAGAACGTCGCATCTCGACTTGCAGAATTTTCTTAGCATTACCTGTTGCTATCTGTGCAGTACATTGTTGCGTGCATTGATGTCTACTGCTGGCAACCATATCTCAATGCTGATGAGCAAAATGATTTGTGTGACCTGATGGCCTGTGGCACTCCGTGCTGAGTTTGGGATATGTCAGTGAGAAGCAAAATATTCAACTGACAGAAGCCCTTCCATGTTCATCAGAGTGCTGGAGTGATATACGTTCTTGAGACCGTAGTTCGAGCGCTGCTCGAAGATGTGAATCGAAAATTTGTCTATGGAGAAATGGTAAGTGCAGTTGAATATGTCATCTTGACAAGGGCCAACTCTGCTATGGTGGAAATTCGCTCTGATATCATTTACTGAAGTGGCACAGCAGCACGATGAGGCATAACTGATTGGGAACTATGGAGGAGATATTTAGATTGGTGAATGCTCAGCGTTCTGAAAAGGCCACTGGCGGGGCCTGCTGCATGCTTGTTTGGCTTCATATTCTGTGGTAATGTCCATGGCCACTTGTCCCTATGCCTGGGAGAGCAGAGACATTGAAGTAACAGGCAGAAAAGTGCACTGTCCCAATTGCAGTAGCCACCATAGACCAAAATGGTGCAGTTGCCATCGTCACCAAACATACCTGTGTGGTGCGGAAAATCATGGATGCCTTGAGGCTGCGCCCTGCTGTGATTTGTTTTCTTACAGGCCTGGCAGGAAGCACTTGGCCAGTAATCATCCAAGCACATTCAGCAACAAATTAGCTTTACAGGGCAGCAATATTCCCAGCCAATCCAGGCCAACCGTTGCCATGTGCTTGCTCTTCTGCACTAATTGACCAAGACTTCTGTTGCCTCTCATCGACTGTGCGCATGAATCATACAAGTCTGTTGTGAGAATAAATGTCCAGCCTGAATGCTATTGAATTGATTGCCAAGTGCTGTCAGGCATATTGCGCTTTAACCACTTTGATCGCATCATTTTATCTGATTGAATTAGGCGTCCATAAGTTCGCATTGTGCTCTGTTTTCATTCCAGAGTGTTGCTTGTGTGGGAGATTGCCTGGACTCTCATGTAACTCTATACTTCAGAATCAACCTAGGGAAACAGACACTGCGGTCCTTTGGAAATATGAAGGAATATACAGTGGCAAGTTGCAGACTTTCAAGTTGCTTGACGTGGATGTCATGCTACATACCAGGTGGCTGCAGCTCTTGGCCTCTACCCTATCTGTTTTGATGCTGGCCAAATAGTCATATCCAGTGCTCTGTAGCCGACCAACGACATGGCTGGTGACTCAAAACTTGTATATCATCAGTGTGTAGGGGCCAACTGTCCACTGCTGAATCCTCTCTTACAGGAATGTGTCTAAGATCCACATTGTCAGCAGTAAGTGTTGCTGCAGTGTTCTGGATGGTATGTTGCTACATGATTATATTCCATGATCATACTTGTGTTGCTGTATGATCATACTAAATACTCAATATCCATTGCCTGGCCTGGCTTTTCTGTCTGCTTTGGTTTTGTTGGAGGACAATCCTCCTTTTTATTGGTGGTTTGTTACTCCAAGAAGCGTGGCTGTGTTTCAAGTATGAATGTCATTGAATGAGTTGGTTAAGTACAATGTCAACTTTCCTCTCTGGTGCTGTATTTCATTTAGTGCTGTTGCTGATCATTGGAGTTAACTGCTCAATGTTTGGCATGCTTGTGTGGACAGTCTTACTTCAGCAAGTGGTGGAGCCTTCAGTCGGATGAGCGGAAGGATGAAGTCAAGTATCTCATCGAGCGGGGTCAGTTGGAGTTTGTGAATGGAGGATGGGTGCAGCACGATGAAGCGGCAGCACATTATGTGGCCATGATTGATCAGACGACACAAGGCCACAGGTGGGCGAATTGGGTAATTGTGCAACAAGGCAGACCATTTTTTACAGCAGATTTTGGGCACAGATTTTTAAAGGCATTACATGTGCTAGTGTTTGGCATCCCCTAACGCTTGCAAGGTCGTTTTTGCTTTGCAAAAGCAAATGGATAAAATGGGGCTTCATCAGATGGGTGCCACTTTTAGTGCACGCTGTCCTTGTCACACTTGGCAGATGGCCATCGTGCGATTCTGTAACCACACAGTTGGGGTCGTCTGTTTTTTCCTTTGGGCTTTTCTTCACTTTCTCCTTTGGTTTTGGTGGGACAGTGCTTGCTCTGTTCAGGGGAAGATTCCAGGGTGTGGGCGCAGTTGGATCTGCTGGTATGAGATCTAGATGCAGCTGCTTTTGTGTTATTCAGCTTCCTTTCATTGTGAACGCAGCAACTCAGAAAAGTTTGAAACTCAGAAAGTTTCTGCACATCCATATGTTGGTGGTCAGGCAGCATGCCCACAGTGGCGCAAATTGTCAGCAGCTGCCATGTTTGTGAATTGTTCTTTGGGCAAAAATGTCTGCAGCACAGATCAGTTGCTGCGAGTCAATCAGGGTGAAATTTGTCCCCAAAGATGATGAGCTTGCTGCCTCAGTCCCTTCCACCTGACATTGCAAGTGACCAAAGTACCGGGGCTGACTGTATTGCTGAACTACTGGAGGAACAGCACAGTAGGCCGAAATGGTCTTGATGGTGCAGTGGTCCCCTGCTGTGTTCCTGAGGCTGCACTCCGCTCGTCACCAGGTTTCTGAAGGAGGAGTTCAACATCACGCCCCGAATCGGCTGGCAGCTTGACCCCTTTGGGCACTCTGCAACGCACGCAAGCCTCATGTCAGCAGGAGCAGGCTTCGATGCACTGTTCTTTGCTCGGATAGATTATCAGGTGGATGCAGGGGAAGTTGGTGGAGATGCTATTGTGATGTTACATTTTGGGTCACCACAAAGGCATGCCAGGGGCTCAAATGTGGGGGGTGTGTTCTGGAAAAATTGGGTTGCAGGTGACCTGTGCATGTACCAGGGCGCACTTTGTCTTCTGTTATGTGATGGCCAGTTTTTTTTATTCCACTATGGTATGTCCCACTAACGAGTGACGGCGCCTCCCCATCTTGACAGAAGAGTTTGGGGTTTTGTGACACCTTGCCAAGGAGTGCAAGGGGAAGCACACCCAAGAAGAACAATCGAATGGAAAGGAGTACACAGTCCAAGGAAAAAGGTTCAGCAGCATTTCAGGGTCATGTGGTCAGCTTGCTGACAGCACAGGTTCAGCATTTTCTCTGAGATGCAGTATCTGTACACCCAGCTTGTTCTGGTTCTATGTGGGTTTGTGGTGGATCAGTCGTTCAATGTTTGTTGTTTTGTTGAGAACTCAGGCACTGCAATAGCGCTGTCCGCGGTAGCCTTGAATATGCAAGGTCAGTTCAAAATATCCTTGATTTCATTTGTTGTATTGCTAGATTGGAAATCTTTCAAGGCTTTAGTCTGTTGTGACCATTGTACACAAAGAAGCCACTTCTTAAGTTAACCAGCAGATACTTACAGATCTAAACAGGGCTACATATATATGGCTCTGTGATTGTGCAGATGTTTCAGGGATCCAATGCTTGATTGTAGGCTCCTTCACAGAGAATGGACTGAGCTGCAGCCCAATTCAGCCAGCTCATGTGTTTGCTGTGTTCAGGATCGCTATGTTCGAAACAACAACAGCGAAATTGAGATGGTATGGCGTGCTTCGCCCTCCTTTGGTGTCGATGCCGATATTTTCACTGGAGCACTTGCACGTGGCCACTATTCAGCTCCCCCTGGTTTTGGCTGGGAGTGGGGACAGTGGATGCAAGATGGCATTGTGGTGAGGAAAGTTTGAGAAGTGTTTCTCAGATTTGTCTCTAAACAAGTCCATTTCATGTTTGTTGCCATCTGTTTCGAGGCTTTGAATGCAGTCAGTTTCCCAAGGCTGTCATGTTGGCCGCTAAACAGTGTGGTGATCAGACCTACCTCAGAAGTTTCAGAGTACGGGAGCCATTTCTATGTCCACGCATTTTTCCAATGCTGAAAAAGGCCATGCATAGGGCTCCCATCATCAACAGCAGCTTTGTTTGTCTTCCATCTGTGGAAGATGAACAGAGATTTGTAGACTGTTTCGGTATTTCTGATGTCAAGAATACTGTTGACATTTCTTACTGAATTTTTCATGCCATGGCCGGATGCAGTGCTGCGGTGAACTGACATATTTATGCCAATGCCTAACACTCTGGGCAGTATCCTTTTTGCATTGTCCCTCAAAAGGAATCAGAGACTCAAAAGTCATCTTTCTCAGCACTTAAAAGAGTCATTTCAAATGTGTGGTGCCCATTGGCTGTCAGGTATCCCTTTCTGTCACAGGGAGTCATTGATGGCAGCTTGCTGCCCTGTTTAGACCTCCATTCAAATGTCAGTTAATTTGTCTCGACTCCATAATTTCGTTTGTTCTTCTCTCGGAAAAGAATATTATTTTGAGAGGGGAGTGTTTTGGCGTGGAGGACGATGAATCTTCTCCTGAGTACAACATGCCCAACAGGGTGGAGGATTTTGTCAACCTTGTCCTGGCATATGCCAACTACTCCCAGGGCAACAACGTCCTGATCTTGATGGGCAATGATTTTGCATATGCAGACTCGTGGTCCTGGTTCCTCAACATTGACAAGCTCATCCATTACGTCAACAAGGTACTCCTGGACTTTGTCTGTAGGCACTGGACTTTTTTGTCATCTACAGGGGATGATGTGGGCAAGCTTATCAAAAGGGGACCAGCATTGCAGCGCATGCATGCACTTGACATTTGAATCAGCACAAAGTTATAAAGATTCCAGAATTTGGCCCTGGGGAGAGAAGGGGATGGGGGTGGCATATGTGTATGTGAGGAAGTCTTGTTTTTTCATAAGTTGAGTGAAAATGTACCAACGTTTGCAGTATGCTTGTCATGGTGCTCAATGTGCTCTGCTGTTCTTGTCACAAATTCAATATTTCATCAGTTTTATGTAATATTGCAATTAATTCCAACAACCACTTCATCAGGCTCACTGCTCAATCCTGGCAATCAGCATTGAAGAGCAGGGGTTTGTCAAGTGGGTGGGTAATCGTAAGAGCTTCACAGCCCTTTTACGGATGCAGTGCGACAGGCCATCTCAATGCATTATGAGGTTTGCTGGCCATGAATAGCCCTCTACTATAGTAACAGGATGTGAATGTTGTCCACCATCGTTGACCAATCAAGGTATCAGTTCGCATGACAAGGAACAAACCGACAATACAGTTGATTTGTTATGTTTTCTGGAACTGGCGGAGTGTGAATTGAAAGTCTTTGGCAATAGTTTCATCCAAGCACTTTCAGCACAATCATGTTCTTCTCTGATTGATGCAGCTCTGGATTGTTGTGCTGTGTCCTGGGGCTTTTGATTGGGCGACTGATTTGGTTGAATTGTGCTGACGTGCCTTTGCAACACCTCCTACAGGATGGAAGGATCAGAGTACAATATTCAACACCCACCGAATATGTTGAAGAAAAGCATTCAGAGGACCTAACTTGGACAGTGAAGACAGATGACTTCTTCCCATATGCTGATCATGAGCACTGCTACTGGACAGGTTTGTGCACACATATCACCAGGCTCGAGTGTAGACTTCTTGGCAATGGGGCGTTTTGTTTAATGCATGGAGTAGCAGCGGTGTAAGTTATGCTACTGGGACATGCACCAATAGTCTCAAATGCAGGTACCAATGCTCGGCATTGGGCCATAAGTGGATACGCAAGTCGATAGGGTGTGTGGCCTATTGCAAACTGCAAATGCAAGACTGCCAGGTCAGGTCCCTGGAGGACTGTTGACAGTGCTTGCGTACCATGCCCAGTCACCTACACAAAGCAAAGACATTGAAGTGCATCTAGTGTGGGATGCAGCCATGGTGCTAGTTGAGGGAAAGCCCAACCACTTGGTGGAGTTCCGATGCAGGTCACCATTCAGGATGCCAATTGAACCTTCCGCAAACTTGAACACCAACACAGCTGCAGCCAAGCCACCTGGAACATTGATCCTGTACCTTAAGCACCCTCAGCCCTTGCTGCAAAACACAATGCTTCTTATCTAGACCACGTTTTCCCTCCAATGATTTCTTTCATGCAGGAAGTTGTTGCAGTTGTTGCAAGTTGGTGCAGTTCCGAGAACCTTGCCAAGAACTCGAACTCTGGAGTTCTTTTTGTTGCGTAAAAACTATGCAGCTCTCTATGTAGTGCGGCTGCAACCGATTTTGAAATAGATGCAAGACATTTAATGAAAAGCAACAATTCTCAATAGCCAAGAAATGTACTTTTCCATGCCCTCACAGCAACTGAACCAACTTTTTGCAATTTGCCCCTCCTTGTAAGTGGTTCTTGGCGAGCTTCACATTTGATAGCATTGTCAAGCTGCAGGGAATGGCACAAAGATGTCTCCGCTGCATTTAGCAAGTAGTCGATGCAAGCGGGCAGCCTTAGGGCATGTATGTCAAGGTTGCTACATATGGGGGCCTTCGATATCTGACATTGTATTGAAATGGGGGCCCTGGCATCTGATCAAAGCTACCGTATGCATGCGACATTGCACGTGATGCACTTGACTGCATGCTGCACTGCTTCATGCTGAATGATAGATTGTTCACTGACATAAACTTGTGTGTTGCAAGGCTACTTCACAAGCCGCCCAACCTCCAAGTCATACATTCGGCACGCAACCTCATATCTTCAGGTACGATGATTTTTGTTTAGACAATCTATTTGTGGTATAGCTCGAGCTTTCCATGTCTGTCAAGCCTCGCACCTCACACTTGCTACCTTTCTGCAATTCTGCTGTTTGTCGCCAAAATGTTGTCTGCCCCCTCCCACGAGACCTGGTTCTTCGTAGTTATCTATATTCAGTGCTTTTGAGTGTGATGGCTGTGTCTATTATGAGGTTAGCTGCAGATTAAGCTCGTTTGGTCATAACCCATGCCTCCAAAACCCCACAGATCCCCATCACCTGTGCACCTGCAGTTTGAGATCAAGTTGGTGCAGCCTGGCAGGACTTCAAGGGCACAAGAATACACATAGTTGTGGATTGAAGCATGGAAACGTTGTTATCATCTTTGTGGCTTTCTGATCAAGAACAATGGCGAAAATTCAGGTGAGAATTCTGACATCAGTGCTTCAGAGGAATATGGACAATGACAACGACGCATCTGCTGTTCCTACAGGCTGCTCGACAGCTCGAGGCAGTCGTTGGCTATGCCTCACATGGCCCCAACACTGGAAGCCTTGAGAGTGCAGTGTCCTTGGCTCAGCACCATGACAGCATCACCGGGACTGCAAAGGCTCATGTGGCCCAGGACTACCATCGCAGGCTGTCCATGGGCCTGGAGGAGTCTGGCAAGCTGGCCATGTCAGTGCTTTGGCAGCTTGCCAGCGGCAAGCTGAGAGATCAAGGAAGGCCTCTCTGGCGACCTCAGGAGGGTGAACAAAACATTGCTCGGGCTCTTCTGCAACAGGTGCTTGGCAAACGATAGGATTCAGGTTGAGGATCCTTCACTATGTTCCTTTGTGGTGTTGTGCTGCAAGGAGTGCCATTTGAAGAACTTGGATATTGCGTCATGGGCACCTCCCCCTCCTGTGTGGGCAAGCTTTTCTATGACTAGCTCGTCCATAGCATGGAAATTGGTGTAGAACTAAGTGCGCACTTTCAACCAGTGTGTTACAACGGTAAGCTACAGGCAGGGTACAGGAAGCTGAATGGGTAGCGCTGGACGTGTTGTGCCAGTACCATTATGAATTCTCATTCTAAAAGTCCCAGTTTTGAGGTCAACAAGTTGTATTCATTTTAACTGTAATTTGGTGGACTGCCAACACTATGCTGTGAAGTCTGAATTCTGCAATGTAGGGAAGCAAACAGCATTTTGCAGCTTGCACCTGAAATTGGCGCATACCCACTCAAACGTTCCTTGAAGCATCCTGGTTGTGTACTGTGTGCCTTGCTTGAGCACAAGTCCAGTGTTTTCTCTTTGAAGACAATGAATGGACTCTGTGCGGTTGTGCTGTTGGCTGTGTTCGTTTCTGGTAATTGAAGGAAATCCATTGACACTGTAGGACCGAAATCAGGAGTCCAAGCGAGCCTTGACACAGACTACCCAGAGCTGGTCTGGGCCTTTTGAGGATTGTTTGCTGCTAAATGCCAGCATCTGCCCAACCTCTGTCCTGGCTTCAGCAAAATTGAGGAACATGTATGTAGTTGCTTACAATTCTCTGGGCTGGCCACGCAAAGAGACCATCCGGGTGCCCCTGAGCCCAGGAGCAGGACGGGCATGGGCAGTCAAGGGTATGGAATTTGCTTCTGTGTGGCTGGGGTTGATTCCGGTACTTCTCCCAGTCTTGGCACTGTGGTTGGGCAGAAAAGAGTGATATCAAGAGAAGTGCAAATGCCCGCTTCCAGCAATATGTCTTATTGTAGCTACTGCAGTGCAAAGCAGCTGTAAGCCTTCAAGGGTGCAGCAGAAGATTGTGGTGGCAGTGCGATCGGGAGAATATCTCCCTCTGACACCATGTCACACCAGCTGGCAGAGTTCAACAAATGCGATTTTAGGTAATGAATTCCTTACACAGCATGTTGCATTGCAACAAAACATTTTGCATTTATTCAGTGTTTTGCAGCTTGTTGAATATGGTACAAGAGGGTCCAGGAAAACATGAGTTGTACTGCTGCCGGTGCCCATCAGGAACTAACGGAACACTGCTGGAGTCCCAAGTCGTGGACGTCTCAAACATCACCACAAGGCTCCAAGGGATCCTTCTTGATACAAATCACACATTATCCAATGCGAGCGATGGATCGCATGAGCTGGTGTTCATGGGAGAAATCCCCCCAATGGGCTTTTCGATGTTCACCGTATGCCCAATGTTGCTGAACAATGGTGAAGGCACTGGAACTCCAAGGAACGTGCAGGAGGCGTCTGCACAGCATCATGGAGGCAGCGAGCGTGGAGGTGAATTCCTGCGTTAACTGCATCTTTCCTTTGATGACAACACAGCAACTGGCGGAAACCTCATGCATTTTGTTCTTCTGTTCCATGGTATGTTGTTCATTTGGCACAAACCTCGCTCATCTAGTGCCCCCTTCATCGGTTTGGAAGTGGAAATGTCACTTCTATTTTCGCCTGTTCATGTTGAGCACATGGACACACACCATTCGAGGGCTGAGAGGCCACTGCCGTGCCTTACACACCCTCATTGTGGCACATTGGGCTTGTGACAGCTGGACCCGCACAGCCAATCTCCACAATGTGCGAGTGGCTGACTGGCAGTGCAAATTCCATGGATGATCTTTCAGGTCAGGGCACTACGGATGCTGCAGAAAGTCGATCAGATCAGGAGCAAGTTGGCGCAGATGCACCTCACCGAGCAGGTCACAGTGAGCCCTCAGCCTGCACAGATGACTGCAGCCAGGGAGTTTACCCACTATCCAAGATGCCAAAGGCAGCAAAAGGTGCAGTGTGTCCCTTCTTTGCATCTGCCGATGCTGTACCCAGACGCCAACAGGGCGATGAAGGAAACAGTTTAATCTGCAAAGAATGCATTGCTTTTACAGCACACTTCAGTCTTTTGTACATAGTATTGGCAATCTGCATTTTGTTCTCTCAGTTGATGCACAAAGCTAAATCTTAAGAACTGCTATCATTCCTGGTCATGCATCCAAGCAAGTCAATCTAACTTCAGCTGGCGTGATGCTTCAAGGTGTGGTGGCACTGGATAATGGCTTGCTGCGCATCAATTTCAACAAACATACAGGGCGTCTTGTCAGCATCGAAAACCCGGAGGCAGGGTACGGCATCAAGGCAGGCCACTCCCTTGACTGGTACCACTCATTTTACAACAAGAGCGAAGCGGGCATGAACTCGGGGGCATACCTCTTCCACCCCAGAAACAAGTCTGCCCTGCTACAACGTGGGACCGAGGTGCAGACGAGGCACATCCAGGGCAGGGTTGTGAGTGAAGTTGTGCAGGAATACTCAAGCTGGGCGTCGCTGACTTGGCGACTGTGGTCAGGGGAGAGGCATGTTGAGATGGAGTGGACCGTGGGGCCCATCCCCATCAACGACAACGTGGGGAAGGAGGTCGTCAGCACATTCAACACCAGTCTGCCATCGGGTAAGGTGGTGGCGAACGTTCTGCAGTGCAGAATCTGCAGTGATCGCACCTATCGGCACAGAAAGATCGCGCTGCCTTGGCGGTGCAGGCAACGCCCAACGATTGTGGTGTGTGGATTATTTGCGGGCAGTGTGTTGTCGTTGGAGTCGTTCATGAAGAACCACTTGTGCGCAGGGGGACAGTAGGAAACGAATGTAAGTGCTTAAGTGAGTACGCAAGTACTTTATGTAATGTGTTGAGGTGGGGGAAAGAACCACGATCTCAAACGTGGCTCCATGGCTTGCAGCGAGAAGTATCAACTTGAGCGATGAGTCTAATCCATTCACACATCACTTTTTGGCATCAATTTGTAGTATGGGTGGGTATTTGGCCAGCAGATGTGCGTGTGTTTGAATAACTTTCTGGTGGCCTCCTCCAGGCAACGAGTTCTACACAGATTCCAATGGACGAGAGATGGTAAGACGTGTGAAGGACTTCAGACCGACCTGGACCTTGAATGTCACCGATCCAATTGCAGGGAACTACTACCCCATCACAGCTGCCGCATGCATAAGGCACAAGCCCTCCAATGGCAGCGATGGCGTTTACCAACCAGGGTTCGAATTCGCTGTAGTGACAGACAGGGCACAGGGGGCAGCCTCCCTGAATTCAGGCGCCCTGGAAGTGATGCTGCACAGGCGGATTCTGCACGACGATTTTCGAGGAGTTGGTGAGGCGCTGAACGAAACGATGTGCGGGTGTCGGAACTGTGACTGCGTTGGGCTGGTGGCCAGGGGAGTGCACTACATCACGTTTCAGCCAGGTGACTTTTGATTATTAAGAGACTCTGTGGGAATGTGACAAACCCAAGTGCTTGCACCCAATTAGCCCATGAGAAGCGCACAATGCCACCAACCGCAAATTTCCTCGCTTCCTGTCATTTGACCAGTCCATGCACTGTCGCAGATCCTAAACGTGGAAAACACCTCACAAGCATTGAGCGCAAAGAGTGCATGGCCGTCGCCCTTTGCAACAGGGTATTGGGCCGCCTTTCACAATGACACTTTGCGCTCCTGCCCTTTCCTACATTTCTTCAATTCGCATCTCTGGCAAATCAAATCGTCCATTTTCACACATTAGCATAGTAAGAGACCTGGTTGTCTATACCTGGGGTGCAGAAACAGGAGCATAGGGCACGAACAGACAGTGGCTAGCTGCAGATGGGGCTGCGATCGCCTGCACAAGTGCTTGGTCTTGTCATGTGCAATAGGCAAATTGTAATTGAAAGGATGCCACATGATAATTTGTGCTCATTGCTGTAGACAACAGGTCTGCACGCATTCGAAGACATCTTCAGCAGCGCCTGAACGACCCTCTGCTGCTGGGCTTCGGGCATGGCCCCCCAAACCGGTTTCCAGGCATTACATCCTGGTCGGCATTGCAGGAGGGTCAGTCCCTCCCTGCCAACGTGCACCTCCTCACCCTGCAGGACATGGGAGTGGCCTCTGGGACACAGACGCTGCTGAGGCTCGCGCACATGTTTCAGGTAGGCAACACCACGCCTCGAGAACTTGAATGTGTGGGTCCTTGCCACTTTGTGTTGTGTGCTGTTCCTGTTGGACGTGGGGACTTCAGCACTGTGTCTGGCCATGTGGAGACAGCCAGACAGAGGCAAAGAGCTGTGCAGTCCGTTTACAGCACATTTTGTTCTAATGGAATAGGCTTCCAAGCACAGTTTATATCGTTCCAAAGTATTGCCGCAATGCAAGTTGTATCACATTGCAAAATTTTGGATTCGAAGGAAAGAAGAAGGAAACGGAAACACAACGAAGGGCAGTTTCTGCCCTGTGCTGGTGAATGCATCGTGAGGGAATTCAACACCCCAGTCAAGCCAGCAGATGTCAGAGCTGCGCCTATGACAGAGTACAGCTGTTGTCTTGTCCACAGCAACATCCCTTTTCAATAGAAGAGAGACGATGCATGCAAAAGGCACATCTCGCGCAATTTTGTTCCTGTGAAACCTTATCTGCGCCTAGAATTGCACTGTGCCCTGCACACAGAATTGAATGCATCACCCCATGAGCATTCCCCCTTGCATCAGTCAGTTGCCAACGCTTGTCTGCCTGCAAAGGTGGATGAGGACGAGGAGCTGTCCTCACCCGCTGAAGTGGACCTGGGGAGCTTGTTTCCGGGTTGCAGCATGGAAGAGCTCACTATCTCTGCCAACCAGCCTGTCAGGGGTGTCGACAGGTTGCGGTGGAAAACAGCCGGTGGTGCTGCTCCACCAGGAACCTCCACGGACGATGAACATGCGGTTGTTCGTAAAGTCCTTGAGCTGCACCCAAGCGTTGGGTGTGCCTCCCAAAGCTGTTTTACTTTGAAACCCATGCAGATCTTGACGTTGCTGGTGACATGTCCATGATGGTGGCGGCCCTCCTGCTGAGATGGTGCGAGCTGCAAGGGTATTGACGATCTGACAATTGCCTGGTCGCAGAAGGCCCAAAATATTCACATTGGTACAGACTTGACAATCATCATATGGTGCATCTGGAAGGAATCTGTCAGAATTTTGATGTTGTTCTTGTTGTTGCAAGGAAGGGCAGGAATCGGCACAGTTTTGCACCAGTTTTGGTAATCGACTGATGCCACGTTTGGAAACAGTCTTGAGAGTTAAAAAATGGCGTTGATCCGTTGGGCTGGCTGCATTGCTGGTGGCCTGCTTGCGCTGCCTCTGGTGTTCACTGTGATGCAGCAGTCAGAGTGATGCCCCAATTTTTGAGGTGAACCATCAGTTTGAAGCAGAAAACGTATGTGAGAGATAGATATGGCACGTGTCAAGCATGTGTGGGTGAGTTTAGAGTAGCTGGAAGATACTCTTTGCAGCACACTTCTTGCATTTAATTGAGTTTAGCAACATTCTAGCTCTTGGGGGTGGGGGTGGGTTGGTGTCGGCGTTCTGTGCCTTTTGACTTGTAAAATCCCACTTGTGCTTCGCAAGGCTCTTGAGAACCTTTTTGGCTGTCTTATGGCGCAAACCGCCGCACCTTGGTGAATGGAGCCGTGGCCATGTCCCTGCTTGTGAATTTCATACCTTAGTGGTTAGGCCGATGCACGCAGATAGCCATCTGCAAATGCAGCGAATCGAGACCAGCCATTTCGACTGCGAAATACCTCACCACCTCCGACACGTGGCTCTCGTCCCTTTCGAGCGAGGCGTGGCCCGCGGCCCAGAGGCCCAGAGGGCTCCACGGGCCGTTGCCCCGGCGAGCGCCCGCGATTTTCCTCCGGTCGGAACGGCTGGCCTCGCCGGCAGCCACGCCATGGAGGGCGCTCCCAACGTGTGTCCACAGCCCCCGGCCCCCGGATCGCCGGCCTCCCCTCTTTCTCTCCTTGATGGCAGGGCCCAGCAATGGTGCACGGGCGACTCTCTGCGCCCAGACGCACCTCCCCATAGGCATGCCGGTCAGGCGCCCACGGCCCCGCACCCCGCCTGCGCCCAGAGCCCCAGGCCCCGCAAAGGGTCTTGCAAAAGGCTCTGCAACGCCTTCGAGGCCAGCCCAGGCGGCCATCACCCAGTGGACGACCGCGCGACGGAGGACGGCGGCACCGCCTCCCTCTGCCTCCCATCAACCCTTGCGCGCTGACCGTGCAGCGCCTGCCCGCGGCGGTAGCCCCTTTCGCCCCATCACCACAGCGCCGGGCTTGGAGGGCCTCCCGCTGGCTCGTTCGCAGCCGCTGGGCTGGCCCCCCCCCCCCCGCCGGGGCCCCAAGGAACGATGCGGGCCGGCAGATGCCCTGAAGGCACCCGCGTGCGGAAGGCCGCGCGGAAGAGATCACTCCCATAAGGGGGGTGAATCACACGCCTCCGCACAATCCATCGCGGCATCCAGTTGAGAGAGCGCGCCTCAGCACCCCCCCTGGCCCAGGCCTCCCTCCGGGCGCCCGGCCGTACAGCCGCCCCGCCGCCCGGCCCCGCCCTTGCTCCGCGCCATGCTCCGCGCACACAGTATGCAGGCCGCGGGGCCGTCGGGATCTTCCCAGCCGGGCATCAACGGCCTGTCCGGGATGTCCGGGCTGCCCGCCGTGCGGCCGAGGCGGCGGTGTCTGGCGATCGCGCGCGCCGGCGTGGACCCCCCCCGCGCCGTGGCCGCCCCTCCGGCGACGGCGGCAGCGGAACTGCGCCTGAGGAACTGGGCGATCGACAGCTGGCGGCAGTACGATGCGCTGCAGCAGCCTGTGTACCCGGACGCCGAGGAGCATCGGCGGGCCGTGGAAGAGATCAAGCGGATGCCGCCGCTGGTGTTCGCTGGTAAGCGGGTTGGGGAATGAGGAAGGAGCGGTGGGGGGCAATGGGGCGAAGGGTGGGCGGGATGCGACTGTTTGGGGTGAGATTTGATGCACAGAGTATAAGAACCTGGGCGTACACGGGGGGGCGCTCCCGAGCAAGTGTATGTGAGAGTCTTTTCCATGCAGTGAAAGATATTTTGGAGTCTCCGATGCGACTTGATGAGCAGATGGCGCGGGCTGTAAGGGGTTGCCGGGGGGTGGGGCGGGGGGATAAATGTGAGGGGGCGACGCACGTTGGGAAGAAGGGGCGCAGAGGGTGCAAGATGGGGATTGGTGCTGGTCGCGGTGCGGGTTGGTTGGGGGCGGCGCCGGCCCGGTGGATGTTGGCGTGATGGGGCCTCGGCACCGTGGCTTGATGGGACTACAGACCTGGTCGAAGTGTGTATCCATGGCGAAATACCTTGCACTGCCGTGACCGCAGCCGACGACGTCGTCCGGTTGAGCGCTGGCTCATCCCGTTCATGTGGGCGCCTTGCGGGTTGCGCACCCTTCCCGAACCTCCGTTGGCGCGCCCGTACGAAGGGATTGTTCTGCGTGCGTGGATTCTTGGGACTGCTTGGACGGGGAGATTTTGTCAGCTTAGGGAGACGCGAAAGCCTTGTATCTTGCGCGGTGCGCCCACCTCTTAGAGAGCTTGAGTCTAGGCTTGAAAGGGGCCGATAGGCTGGATCCTCCCCAGAAATTGGTGGCTGCTGCTCGTTCATGCTGTTGCTGCTTGGTTTGTCTGTGGCTGCTGGCATCAACGACTTGTGCAGATTTGCTGCCCAACCATCCAACAGTGCAGGGTCAGCATCATTTCACAATGACGCAGTTGTCCTTCTCCGATCATGTTTGCCTTGCCAGGGCGAGACAGAATCCACGTACGGGCATGCGCAGCCACCTTTTGCACAGATGTTCACGCCAGGCCAGGCCGGTGCACCCTAACTGCACTATCTCTTGTGGCTGCAGGTGAGTGCCGCACGCTTCAGGCGAAACTGGCACAGGCTGCCGCTGGGGAGGCCTTTGTGCTGCAGGGTGGGGACTGTGCTGAGGCCTTTGCTGACCTCAACGCCAACCGGATACGTGACACGTACAGGGTGCTCCTTCAGATGTCAGTCGTCCTGACGTTCGGGGGCGGCATGCCAGTTGTGAAGATGGGCCGCATGGCAGGTCAGTTTGCGAAGCCCAGGTCGGCCCCCACAGAAACCATAGATGGCGTCGAGCTGCCATCTTACAGGGGAGACATCATCAATGGCGCTGCGTTTGACGCAAAGTCGCGGGTGCCAGACCCCTGGCGCCTGTTGAAGGCGTACAACCACTGTGCCTCGACCCTGAACCTGTTGCGGGGATTCAGCTCGGGAGGGTATGCAGCCCTCCATCGTGTGACAGAGTGGAGTCTGGATTTCATGAGGGCAACAGAGAATGGGCATGCGTACATCGACTTGGCCGAAAGGGTGAAGGAGGCGATCACATTCATGGTTGCATGTGGCCTGGATTTGAACACTCCTCTCATGAAGGAGACTGACTTCTTCACGTGCCACGAGGCACTGTTGTTGGACTATGAGGAGGTGGGTGCATCATTGCAGAGCTGTGTGTGGGACATATTGTGGATTCGTGCATCGGAATGGCACAAATCAGTGTGCTCTGTCTTCATGAGTGATGATGGGTCCATTTTATTTGCAAAGTTGAGCACAAAAGATTGGAGTGTGCTTGGAATGCTGTCTGTTGTGAAGCAATGCTAGCAAATCATCCAATGTGTGCTGTTTGTTATTTCAAGCCCAATAAGGCCATATCATTCAATTCTGTGAAACTTTGTGGTGCACTGAAGCTGTCTTTGGCTGCTTGTGAAGTGAGGTGAACATAATGCCCTGTGTCCAATGATCCCTCCTGACAAGGACATTTCATCAGCAAGATCTGACAGGCGACGCTGACAACAACAAGATGGCGCACATCAACAGTAATCTTAGTGATGAAAAGGCAAAGACCCTGTGAAGTGCAGGAATTAGAGGTGCTGCATTGAGCGGCGAATCTCAATGCCCTGCCTTGGCTCCTTTAGCAAACAGTCCCCGCAAAAGTTCCCATACATCATACTCTCCACACATTAAGTTACCTTCATGACTGCAACGTGCGCCCAACTGTGCTGATGGCATTGTCTGCTTCGTATCAGCTGTGCAGCTGAATAGCCGTGAGCTCCTGACCTGCACAGGCCCTGACGAGAGAAGACAGCACCACCTCCCTTGCCTACGATACATCCTCACACTTCCTGTGGTGCGGAGAGCGCACCCGAAACCTGGACGGTGCGCACGTCGAGTTTCTGCGGGGCGTGGCCAATCCCATCGGCGTCAAGGTGTCCAACAAGGCAGAGCCGTCTGAGCTGGTGTCCCTGATCGCCACCCTCAACCCGCTCAACACGCCAGGCCGCATTGCGGTCGTCACGCGCATGGGCGCGGACAAGCTGAAGAAGCACCTCCCGGCCTTCATATCAGCCGTGAAGAACTCTGGACAGGTATATCGTGGCATTGGCTGTGATGCCTGGATTCTGCAGCTTTCGTGGCAATATGCGCAAGCATCGTCGATTTTGTGGACTCATGGCTGTCATCGCCTTGTGAGAGGGACAGCAGGTCGTATTGTCAGACTTTCTCGTTTATAGGAGTCAGTACACTCAGCAGCTGTGTTCGAGCATGTCGTATTCATACATATTATTTGTGAGCAGGTGGTGACGTGGATATGCGATCCCATGCATGGCAACACAGAGAGCGTGAACGGCTTCAAGACACGGCGGTTCGAGAATATCCAAAAGGAGGTAGAGACGTTCTTTGATGTACACGAGACCATGGGGAGCACACCCGGGGGGATACACCTGGAGATGACGGGTGACAATGTCACGGAATGCATGGGTGGTGGTGCACAGATCAGTGAGGACGATCTCAACTCGCGGTACCATACACACTGCGACCCCCGCCTGAATGCCGAACAGGCGCTGGAGTTGGCGTTCTATGCGGCCTCAAGGCTGAGGAGCAGGAAGAACAAGCTGCAGAGCGTCAGCAGCAATGGCATAAGGCCACTGCCGAGTCTTTGAAAGTTCGCTTTGGCTTTCCTTTCGAGGTCGCCGAGGTTGGCATTACCTTAATTGTTTGTGGGGATATTTAGTCGCCACATTACCCAGGTGGAGTGTAGGCCTGCGGCACACATGGCTTGAAATCTTGGCTGAGCTCTAAATTGCGCCAGGACAGAAAGGAAGGGAAGGAGGACAACAGAAAAAGAAAAGGAAGAAGCAAGACAGGCAATGAACGAGACTCTGACAACGATTGCGCCCTGTGTGCTTGCCAACGCGTTTTGGGGGCGAAGTGAGCCTTTGCGTGGGCGTTTTGGAATGGATGGCGCAAGGACAGCGGGCATAGGAGCAGCTGACGCATCTTTAATTTAATTATCCTTCTTGACTGTGATTTCTGGGGTGCCTGCTCCTTCCACTGTGCTTGCAGTTTGCTCATGATTGCCTCCCCGTGTGCAGATGTTGCTGTTGGCCAATTGCCTTGATGACCACCTCATCTGACATACCACTCCTTCCTGCATGTTGAATATCATGCAGATGAGAAGTTTGTTAAGGCACATGAAACAATGTAGTACTGTGGACTGTACATGACTGCATGATGGAGCCTTGTTTGGGCTCCAGCTGGTGCTGAGTGTCTGTGAAGAAAAAGCTTATGCTTTGGGGACCTTGAGCACCTGGAGCTTGGTTTGAAAGTGGGCACTGTGTTGTGACGAGTGGTGTCAGTGTCCCACCCTGTGACCTCTTTTCCATTGCGAGCTGCCCACCGCACTGATACTCGGGGCTCCCAACAGCACGTGCTGTGCGCCATTCCGACCTCTAGCGCTCGCTCTTGGAGCACTTACTGCAGAGGGCACCTCAGTGACACCTGGTGATACTTGAGTTTTCGGAGTCATTTGCCAGCGTATTACAGAGCATACCCAGACATGTTGGAGGCCGTGGAGGACGCTTGTCAGTCAGCAGAGTTTGTTTCGATTGTGGTTGTGGAGATCTTCAACAGCCATTCTTCCACATCAGCTGCAGCATTGCTTTTCCACCGATCATATCTCATGGGCGCACCAACTCTGCCTGGTGCGTTACACAGGCCAGCTCGGGCCTCTGGAAGCCCTGTGTTGAGCGTGTGTGCCAGTGCGCTCTTCATCGCCTTTCCGGTGCCTGGGCGTGCTGTGTCGATGCTGACAAAGCAGTATGGGCCTTGCATGCCGGCTACAGCTCGGTCTGAGAAGCTTGGAACCAGTCCAGGGGATCGGGCTGCATCTACGCCGCCTTAGGGGCACACACAGTCATTGCTGCGATCCAAAAAAGCCTCGATGCTCAATGGGGCCAGACTGGCCTGAAATCCCAAGGTTTTCCCCAACCCGACACCGTAGAAACTTGACGGCATGCAATGTGTGTTCTTCACGTTGTCTGTTCCTTTGCGGATGCGCTACCCATCACGGACCACAAATATTCGATGCCCCTCATTTCACCAATCTCCAACCAGCCGTCAATCAATCAACCATTCAGTTGCTGGGGCATTTCTGCTCCAAGAGTTCTCTGCGTCAAGAATGTGTGTCGCCTGCAGCGTGGATTTCCCAGATTCCGCACAAATGCCCCATAACCTTCATCTCCGGGTATGAAGGTCACGACGTAGTCTTTTGGGCCCTTTGTGCCCTTCACACACCTCAAGTTACCTTCACTTACGTTCAGCCCTGCAATTTTGCCCACTCAGGGCACACGCTGGAAACGTAATTACAATCACCTTTCCAGCTTGTCGCGCACATGACAAATATAGAAAACCATGTCCACACAAACCAGAGCCCAATGTCCAAACATCCCACAACTAAAAGTTCATTTTGGGTGCGTTAACCCCAATGTGAGTTTTGCCTTTTTCGGTCCCAGAAAAGCAAAGAGCGAGAAACGTATAAAATATCCGATCATAACATCCCAATCACAGTGGTGGGCGGGAGGGAGAGAAAACGAAGTGCAGTATAGCTCCTGACACCTCCCTAAGGCGGCGGCGCCACTCACAGCCCATTCGGAGCCATGGAAAGTCGTCCCGTCATGCGCTAGGCCCCAAGGTCCCTTGGCGCCACAGCGTGTGCCTTCCTCCGGCAAGAGTAGAACATAGTGCCAACGGACTCACCATTGAATCAATCGAATTCTCGCACCCTATTTCCGGGCCTATTGTAACCTTGCTTGCTAGACGTTGTTGTAACAAGAACTGATTGCGTATTATTGACAACTGAATGCATAAAGAGATGGTGAGGTACCAGGAACTGCATTAAGGACGTTGATGAACGAATTGAATATAAGGGGCAGTATTCCTGTTGTCCTTAGCCTCGGCTGTAGACCGTTGCCGTGGACTCGAGCATAAGATCCCCGTTCAGGGATCGCCACCCCTCGCTCCTGGCTGCCTTCGTCAGCGTAACCATTCCATTCGGAATCAGCCAAACCCCGCACCCGGCCTGCCCCTGTAAGCGCACACCCCCACAATGTTGAAATGGCGTCAATTCAGCACCCCCCCTGCCCTCCCCTGTTACTGCACACCAAGCCGGGTTCCGCGCAACATTTCCGCCGCAAGGCCACCGCCTCGCCCATGCTCCACCGGTGCCTCCCCAGGCCGCCGCTGGCGTTCCAGCAGGCTCCCCCCTGCCTCGCCCACGAGCAGGGCCCTCCCGGCCAGCGCCCCGACGCCCTGAGGTGACGACCGCGCAAAGCGACGGCCCCGCGGGCCTCCCCCGTCGCCTTCAATCCTGGACCATCCAATTGCCCATCACAGGGCTAGGTATCGCGGCCCCGTTCCCGCGAGATTGATCTGCCAGAGGCGAGCTCGGCACTCTCGGAATTGCCCACAGCAAATTTCAGGATGCGGAAGAGAATTTCGCAAAGTGGTGCCCAGGAGCTGGCTGGCCCCCTTTTGCGTTTTGGTGCCTTTCTCTGGACTGAAATGGGAACTTCCCAGGTTGGCGTTTGTTTGAATAGGGCAATTCGGCGACTGTGCGCAGGGCGATCCGACCGGGCGTGCATCTGGAGTCGAACGGCGCGCGGCGGACGATGGACGGCCACGCGAGCGCCTCCTCCAGGGGCGTGGCCCAGGAGGAGGAGTGGGGGCGGGGTCAGGGGCGCTGGGACGCCAACGGGGGGCACCAGACGTCCCCGGAGGGCGCTGGACGGCCAGAGAGGTGGGCTGGCGGCCAATGGGGCCCCCCGCTGGGGCGATGGCTTCTGTTCTGATGGGACTCGCGCTTGCACCCAAATGGGGATGATGGCGCATTTTACCTCCGCAGAATGTCGCTTCCAACTTGGTTGTGTGCGCACTGCTGCAGCTGCTGGTGCTCTTGTTATTCAAGTCACAAGGAGGCTCAACGTTGATGGTCAAAAGCATCGTGTTGAGAGCAATATGTCTCAGTCCCAATTGCTGAATTCTGCTTCGGTGTCTGCGAGCGTGACAAGGCAGAGAGAGCCTTCACCTGTCTGGCGAAGTCAGGCTGCAGCTAAAGTACAAGAGCGATTGCAGCCGGACTTCGTCAGGCCTCAAGTGCTCAAGCAATAGTCAAACTCAATATGTTTGCAGCCAACAAGCTCATGGATCCAAAGGCTCCAGCCCTGTACACCTCCTGAATATACCAACGAATACACGGAGAGAAAATAGATAGCTGACTGTTTTTGTATGAGTGTGAGGATGCAGCAAATCTCATGCCTATGGACACATGGTGTGTGGGGTATAAATGGAATGCGAGTAGATGTGCAGCTTGCTTGCTTGAACATGCTGCAGGCTGCTATTCTGATGCAGTACTTGGCCCATCTGTTGCTGTTGCCAAAGTGCTCACTTTTTGCATGAGCGGTGTCCTAGGAACTGTATCAGGCGAACATCGTTTGCCACACATAGCATTGATCGACGGCGATTATATGTCGTTGGAATTCAGCAAACTGCACTGATCCCAGAAAGATGTTGCAATTCCCCACTTTCCCCAGCATCCGAAGGCAAGAAAGGCAGGTGTATTTCCTTGGAGCACATTTACCAAAAAGTGACAAATCACAGCCTGCCATTTGGGTCTTGTAGTCACCTTCAAGGGAAATGGACTGGTGGTGGCAGATGCGCACAAGAAGGTGTCTCAGTGCCTTTCCACAAATCCATTGTTTGGCAGGCTGAATTCCTGTCTGACATCTCTGCTGACCGTGCCTTGCTTGGGTTGGGTGCATTGTCCCGTCCAAGATCAGGGCTGGTGTGGATGGGGAAGAGTGTGTGGCCATGACAAATATGAGTAGCGGGCACTGTCCAACCCCTCCAACACCCACAGGTCCCTTGTAGCATTTCTGCTCTTGGTCATTGCACAACCAGAGCAACGGAATTAGTTCCCATATTCCATATTGGTTCGCAAATTCGAATGAGCACCCAACAATTGGCATGTTAATAAACGTGATGGATGCAAATATTCCGCAGAAAGGTCCCAGTCGTCTAGTTTCCTGGCGTGATCTCTGATGTAGCTCCCAAATATGATGATTGTGTATATTGTGTTGTGGGAACCTCCCTCAACTTTTGAAGTTCGCTGTCCGCAGCTTGTTATTTGGCACCACAGTTGGAACACTGAAAGGCTCACTGCGCTCTCTTCTTCTGCAGGCCAGGCACGAAATGGCCGATTAGGGATCCCTTGGTCTGGATTGACTTGGAAATGTCAGGTAGGATTACTCCCCACATGTCTTTTCGTCATTGCCAATCAGATTGATTGGAAGTGGCACACTATGTAGCATTCTTGCAAAATGGCCATTGTGCTCAAGACATGGTCAACCATGTAGTGGAAGGGTGCGGCATTTTCCAGCAGGAACCAAAGTTCTCATGTCCGCCTGGTGTCAACGGACAGGGTTGTGAGCTTCCTTCCAGTGCCCTGTAGCATGACAAAGCATTGCCCTGCATCTTGCTGGCGATGCCAGGCAGTGTTGAAACAGACTGTTCCAATGCCATGCACGACGCACAGGTGCACCTTGCCTGCAGCGATGGCCGGATGGCAGGCACAATGGTTTGTGGCCGCAGGTATTGTGACATGCTGCTGGCCACTGTCAATCAGGATGCATAGCCTTTCCACACAAAATAGCGCCATGTCCGTTTTGTGTGCTCAAAGGTTGCAACCATATTTGCACCCTGGGATCTCATCCCATCAGCGAATAGCAACACGAAGATTGTGGCCGAGGTTGTGGCAGTTTGCGCAGCTGGTACCATAGTCTCTTTGGCGGTTCAGCACTTTGGAATATTGGAACAATTGTGTGAGGGGTGCAATCTTTGGGATGTTGCACAACAAGCCTCACACAGCTTTAGTTTGCTTGGGCTTCTGCCTGGGGAGAAGCAGGGCCAGGAAGGAGCGTAAGGTGGGACCAGTGTCAAGGCGTTCATTCGATCATGTTGCCGGCTGGGTTTGAACACTGGTAGAGGGCTGGATGAGCTGCCAGATGTGCGAAAGATGCCGTTTGGCACGACCAAGGTGCGATCAGAACATGGTAGTTTTGGAGCCTTTTAAGGACATGAAGCTGGGTGGCTCAAAGGAGCGGTACAGAGTGCCTCTCCCTGTTGGTTTGCTGTCTGTGGATTGGGCAGCATTGTGTGTGCTGGGTGGCATGGTCGACAAAAATGGCTCATGTGTGGGTCTGCGCGCACAATATGGGTACAGCGGTCAGGTGGCCCTTTGGGTTCATGTGAGGGCACCACTTGCAAGCACAGGAAGCACCTATGCTAGGTGGTTTGGAGGTGCAAACGCACAGAAGTTCTGGGACTGGTGCTGCGTGCGTCAAAATTTTCTGACACTGCATCATTTTCCAAGACCTTGCTCCTTAGCGTTTCTGCTGAGGTCCATGGTTGTGAATTTTCTGCTTTTCGAGAAGTGGCCCCAGCATTGTGTCATTTGCCAACATGTTAAATATACTCCACTAACCGATTCCCTGCGCTTTGAGATGTTTTGAATACACTTTCGTTTTACAACCAATAGATGCTGCATGAAGCTGTCATGATGGGCCATTTGTTTGGGAAGTTTGCTCTAAGAAGGATGAGCATTGTCTGCATGGAATGGGAAGATGGACAGAAGACATTTTGCAGATTCTATGTTGGTGCAAAATGCCAAACTGCAGTATTCAGAAACAGGGCATACTGCTTAACCCCCTCAGCTGTGCTGGTGCGGGGAATACTACTAGGCCTGTGGAAACATCTCTCAGCTGCAGGGTGCAATGCCTTTGGCACAGACATCAATAGCATCCTGGGTGCTGCATTGTGCCACGCCTCAATAACTTCCGAGGGGCTTGAGTAATTAATGCCCTTTAATCATATGGGCTTGTCCCATGGTAGTTTTGCTGGTCAAGAAGGACCTTACAGTACTGAAGGGCATTACTGAACGACGTCAGGCTCAGGTTCGCTGTTGTGGGCTGGTGGTTACCCTTCTGTTGACACATTTGTTCAGTACGAGTTCAATGTGCAGGTGTAAGCAAACAGGGTTTGAACTACTGATCAGTGATTGTCCTGTTTATGTTGTGTTCAGGGCTGGACTTGCAGAACGACACCATCCTTGAAATCGCATGTATATTGACCGATGGGTCTTTGTATCGGCAGATAGAGGTGCGTCCATGGCAACAGAAGTGTTGCTTTCATTGAAAGCAAGGTGACAAAGCAACTGAACCCATGTTTGAAACATGATGGTGCCTCTCTCAACTGCTGATCCACTGCTGATGCACAAGTTTCAGTGATTTGGCCTGTTTCACACATTGATCGAAACTGTGTGAGACACACAAATTTATGCCCTCGGTATGCCAGCCCCATTTGACGCCGTTGTGGAACTGCAAGAATCGAGCAGTGTCCTCATTGTGTTTGGAAGCAAGGCATGGCATGATAGCCGTGTGTCGCCGCACTGGTTCAAGGTACAGAGACATGCACAGGATGCTGTGTATGATGCGGTCACGCTATTGGGATGTTGGAATTGCGAGTGGCCGCCATTTGCAGAGAACACGATGCGACTTGTGCTCGCAACTTCTAGTTACGCTTCAGAAGTATTTGATTACTTCAGCAGTGTTTGTCCACTGCTGTGAATCAATCAGCAAATTCATGTAAGCCTGGAATTGTACTTATTGCAACGAATTGTCCTAGCCCCAGTGACATGACTGTGCCTGGACCCCAGGGCCCCTGCATCGCCATCCACCACCCAGACAACGTGCTTGACGGCATGAACGAGTGGTGCACCAAGAACCACGGCGCCAGCGGCCTCACCCAGCGCTGCAGGTCCAGCCGCGTCTCCCTCGAGGCCGCCGAGCGCCAGGTCCTGGACTTCATCAAACAGTACATATCGCCAGGCGTGGGCCTGCTGGCGGGGAACTCCGTCCACGTGGACAAGATGTTCCTAAAGCGGTACATGCCCCTCCTGGATGACTACATGAACCACCGGATCCTTGACGTGTCCACGCTGATGGAGCTGTGCCGCCGGTGGTACAAGGAGGAGTACAGGCGATGTCCGCGGAAGAAGAACAGGCACACGGCGCAGTCGGACATCGAGGAGAGCATAGAGGAGCTGAAGTACTACAGGTCGGCGATCTTCAAGAGGACGTGAGGGGTTCAGGGGCGGGGTGATCGGTGGTGCGGGGCGCAGGGGGCCGTGCGCCCTCTGTGTGTTTAGATCGGTTGATGACGTTCGAGGAGTTCTCTCTGTACTTGGTGCTGTGCGTCCCACGAAATTTGGGGTGAGCATGGTTCAGCTTAGTGCTAGATGGGGGGTGATTGTTCCTGGGGTGGGTGGGAGAGTGGAAGGGCGTTTTAGTGTGACTGCAATCTGATTTCTGACAGGAGGGCAGCTGCTGGCTTGTCGTGCCTGGCATGGTGCCTTGGCCGTTCTCGTTTAAAATTTATTCGATGGCCGATGTTGCAAGGGCTGCCTTCTGCCACTGGAGTGAGGTGGGTGCACGGAATGGGGTCAACCACTCTTGAGCTCAGTCCACCCTCCTGGCCGTCCTATACCAAGCGCGCCCGCACGCAGCCTCACAAGGCGCAGCTCCCACACGGAGCTGGGGTATAAATTTTGGTTGGTCAAGCTCCAAGTTTGAACACAACTTTCCTTGCCAGCGGCGGCATAAACTGCTACTAGATATCTTCCTCTTACAACCACATGCCTGCCTGTTTGTATCCGTGGGATCCTCACCGCCCGCAAACGTCCGCACAACAATCCACTTCTGTGCCAACTCATCAGTCAACTACAGCCAACATACAAAACATACTGTAGGTGTCCTGTCAGAAACAAGCACGGGGTTGCTGGCTACTAGGACACAGACCAACAACAGAATGGTGAGGCAAAAAGAGAGGGAGAGAAGTCCTGGCGTTCACCTCTGATTCTCAGCGTCTCTCGACCAATACAGCTGTGCGCTAGGGCATGGCGGGGAAAGGGGTCGTTGGGGATGGCATGTCCAGGGCGATCGACATGGCTGCGCCTGTGCGCCAATAGTGTCCCCAAAGAACACCGGGTAGGAAGCAGTGGACCTCTTTGCCAAGCCTGATTGGAGGAGTGTCAGTGGGTGGGTGGCGGGTGGGCTATGGGGGGGGACCACTGATCAAAATTGTTCATAATGACAACAAATCATTAGGCACTAAACTATGCAATAAAGCCCACAAACACTTTTCGACAATCAGCGGTGGATACTCACAGATGGCAATTGTCGATCAAAATTCTATGTTACAGGCAGTAAATTACAGAGGCATTCCGACCATTCCTCAAGGCAAGGTGTGCAAGGACAGTCACGAATGCCCCCACCGCACCCGAGCTTGAACCATGGACCCCCCATTGATGCAGCCACTTGCCCACTCGCCACTACTCAAAAATATGTCCTTTCACCTCCACTTCGCTCCCACAAAGAAAGGAAACGCTGACAGAGTCACAGTCCAGCTACACATCCACATGGGCCTTCACAGCATCGTATATGGCCTTGAGCCAAATAGCCACAGCCTGGGCCCCTGGATCTGGCACCGACTGCAGCACATCTTCTGGCACGTAGCTCGATCTGCCCGCCAACGCCTTCATGGTCGTCGTCGCGTCGGCCCCCGCCCTGGCAGCATCTGCCATCTCTCCCAGCACTTCGATGGCAGGCTCGGATATCAGCCCCTTCATCGCCCCCACAGCAGGTAGCAGCGCATCCAGCATCGTCCTGTGACCCTTGTTTGCGCCACCGTAGGCCTGCATCGCACTCACCCCATCCCCCAGAGCTCTCGCCCACTGTTGTGGGGATAGGGTGGCCTCCCCTGCGGGGATCGCATTCGATGCCGCGGTGAAGAAGATGTCATACAGCGCTCCCGATGTGCCCCCCATGGACCTCCTGACCGATGCAGCCAGCTGCTGTGTCGTGGCACGGGGGTCGTTCAGGGCGTAGCAACCGGCCATATCTGCCTTGATGGCTTCCGCGCCCTTTCTCATCGTCAGCCCGCAGTCGCCGTCTCCGGCTTGGGAGTCCCAGGCATTCAGATCGGCTTCACTGTCAATCAGCGCATCGCACACCGCCGTGATTGCAGTCTCCATCAATTGGCCTTGGGGAGTGAGCGTCGCCGGTCTCACGGGCCCAACATCTGCCGAGTTAATACCTTTCGGAACAGGGGTCTTCAATTTGTCAAGGCTCGGGATGCACGTCAGCGTCCCAGAACCCCAGCCCAAGGCGCTGGTCGGCCGGTCGAGCTGGAGCAGCAACTCATTACTCACCCGAAACACTGTGAGGGAGACGCCTGCCATGTCGATGGAGGTCATGTACGAGCCAACATACAACCGGGCGACGTCCACCTTGGCCTCTGCTGTGAGGTACTTGAGGGCCGCCCTGGTGACTATATGCAGCTCCATGGCCGACAGGCCCCCCAGGTTGTTCACCAAAACTGCCACCACCTCGCCCTCTTCCACAGGCAGGTAAGCTGACTCAGATTGCAGGATGTGCTGCAGCATGCTTTGCACAACTGCGTCGGCTGGGTGGTAAGCCGCCTTCCGGGCCCCAGGCTCCCCATGGATCCCAAGGCCCAGCTCGATCTCGTCAGGCCCCAGGCGATCTGAGGGGCTGGCACCAGGGAGGGTGCACACATCCATCGCCACGCCCATGGTCCCAATGTTCTGGGCCACTTTCCTTGCTGCCACAGTCACAGCATCGAGGTCCCTGCCCTGGTCCGCCAGTGCGCCCTGCATGGCCAGCCCACACATCTGAAGGTGATGGAATGTCATTTGGAAAGGCAGTCAGAGGTCCACTTTCCAACCCTGTTTCTGTTGATAGCTAATATCTGACCATATCTTCCAGAGGGATCTGTTTCTTGAGTGTGTTCCCATCAGCCTGGCATGCCTTGAGCAGTGTTCTGACACTGTGTCCACCTTCAAACATGTGAAGGATCCAGCACCCTTCCAGAAGGAGATGAGGGGAGGTGCCCAAAACACTTTTCACAGCTCTAGTTCAGGGAAGACGTCCCCACTGCAGCACATCTTGCTGTAAATTGAGTGCCCCTACTGCCGCCCCTTTCTGAGTGACTGCAAGGCCCAGTCTTGGTGTTTACATTCCTGGAATTTGCTGCAAGCTCAAGTCCCCCTTCCAATGATCTCTGACAGTCTAAGTGCTAGCCCTTGAGCGGTAGACAAATATGGGGTGAATGCAGCCTTAGGCAAGCACAGTGCTCATGTGGCGGGCCCACGTGCAGGCTCTCATCAGCCCATGAAGAACAGCCGATGGCCAACAATAACTTGACACCTATTGGCATACACTATTAACAGTGGCGGAACGGCTTTGGTGCACGTACACCCTGTCTTTACCCTGGAAGGTGCTGGAGCGTTGTCTTGCCCTGCCAGGGCAGAGGTAAGCAAAGCAACTTCACCAGTCTGTGGGTAACATGGGCCGCAGCACAATGTCAAAAATGGCATTGAACCAGCTGATGAACAGCAATGAATATACGTTACATGAGTATACTGATGGGCGCCGCTCACCGCAACTTTGTGCACAAAGATCGTCCCTGCCAGTCCACGCCGCCCGGCAATGCCGTCGGCCCGAAGGGCGCAGTCGTCCCCAACCACAACCATCTCCACGCGGAAGCCCTCCGCTTTTGCCTGTTCTGCAGCCAGGCCAAAATGCAGCAAGTCCCCTGCAAACAGCAATCTCAAAATCAGGACTCCATGTTACCTTTCAACATAAGAGAAGCATGTCACACAAATGGCACCCCCTCAACAAGAACCGCTGTGTCCCTCTCATTCATACCACAAGAGATGACAAACAGACAACCTGCAGAAGCATGGCAAACGACGCGAAAGGAATGTATGGTGCACAAGGAAGTGCAGGCAACACAAAGCAGCATGTTTGGCAAGTAGACATATCACAGCCATTCCACCCATTTTCTGATTCCACCAATTCGAAAACTATCGATTCGACTCTAGGCGGCTCGCAGTGGACATGAGCGAGGCACCTCATGAACCCCCACCAACTTCCAGAGAGAAATGGAGATTCAAACGTTCTGCTCAGGATGAAAACAGGGATGTCGATCTCCAAATTGCATTCGCTCCAAAACACAAGCTGACCACGGCCCCCCTTCCATGGAGGCGACGACGGGCACCGCTCACAACACGCCACACTTCCGCAATCACGCCAACAAAGTGCTCGCCCGTCCAAATGCACAACGCCAGCACAGAGATGCCCGACATTCAGCGCGCTGGCCCCCAAGCAATCCTTCCCCAGCCCGCGGTCCGGGTCCCGCACCCGTGTATCGCTTGACGATCAGCAGGCATCCCGCAGGCCCGCACACCGTCCGAATGGCCGCCAGCACGGCCTCCGACGGCGGCGACGTGAACACGTCGCCGCACACCGCCGCGGTCAGCATCCCCCGCCCCACGTAGCCCGCGTGGGCAGGCTCGTGGCCGCTGCCCCCGCCGGAGATCAGGGCCACCTTGCTGGGGTCCCTCTCGCCGTCGTACACCACCTTCACGTCCGGCAGGCCGTCCAGGAGCAGCAGGTTGGGCACGCCGGCCACCAGGCCCTCCAGCATCTCCACCACGGCATCCCGCGGATCGTTGATCAGCTTTTTCTGCCCCATTGCCGTCAGAGGTGTGCGGGGTAGGATGGGGGGCTGGCTTGAAGGCAGCCGAGAGGGGTTGGAAAAGTTTGACGGAGTGCCTGGGCCGGCCGGGAGAGGGGTGGAGGTGCGGCCGTCGGGGGGCGCGCTAAGGTGGCGGAGCGGGGGTGCGCATGGCGGGCATGCGACCCGAGCCTCGCAATCTCGAACATCTGCGCGCGTCGGCCTCGCGCGTCGCCCCCCCCCCTCCCCCCCCCTTTGGCTCCAATCACCGCCCCGTCACCCCATCAGTCACATTTTCGCGCCCAATTGCAGCGGAGCCGCGATTCCGTCTTCCCGCCCGGACTTAGAAACGCCGCCGGGCCAGTCCGCTGTGAGAGCGCGCGCCCGCGGCGTTGGCCCCCTGCCGGATCACCGACCGGTCCTGTCGCGCTTCGCCGCCGCCGCCGGCGGGATCCCCTCCCTCCCCCGCCCCTCCCCCGTCCGCTCGGGCGCTCCAGAATCAATAATGATGAGCGATCTGTACGACAACCCGGACTCCAAGCTGCGCTACGAGGCCTACAGGTGCGGCCCCCGCCGTTCGGCGTGCCGTCGACGGCCCGCCTGCCTCCCGGCGATCCCTACAGGCCATCCGTCCGGGGGCCCGATGGTGGCGATGGCCGCAGGCGCTCACGCCCCGCCGTTTTGCCCCTCGGCCTAGCCGCCTGCAGGCCGCGGCGGTGGCCTTCGGGGAGAGCCTGCCCATCCCGGAGATCGTGGTGGTGGGCGGCCAGTCGGACGGCAAGTCCAGCCTGTTCGAGGCGTTCCTTGGGGTGAGTGGCCCCAGCGCGGCTCGCCGGGATCCGGTCATGGAGTCCCGGGGGCATGGACAGGTCGGCGGCCCAAAGTACTGCGCCGATCCCCTCGGCCAGCCGCGCCCGGAAAAGCAATCCCTGGCGTGAGAGAACCAGCTCCAGGGTTGCGCCGAAGCTTCGAAGGGTACTCGCCGCACCCGCCCCTGCGAGCAAAAATGGAAGTGGGGGCGTGGTGATTGCATAGTGATCAGGCGGCACTATATAGACCTTGCTTTCGTGTGGACTGTGCAAATGAAGGCTGCTGATCGAACAGGAGCTAGGGGAAGGGCCTCCACGGGATGACCGGCCGGGCTGCATCACGGCTGTGCTCGCAGCGCCTCGCGAGAATTGTCCCGTTTCGTTGACGAGAACAGCAGACCGCGGCTCTGTGCTGCGCAATGAACCCGCGACCACTGGGCATTTCCGAATCCTTCCCTCCTCCCTGCCTGCCGCAGTTTCGATTCAACGTTCGGGAGGTGGAGATCGGCACCCGGCGCCCACTGATTGTGCAGATGCTGCACGACCCCCACGCCGTGGAGCCGCGCTGCCGACTGCAGAACGAGGACGACGACGAGTACGGGCCGGCCATAGTGCCCGAGACGGCGGTGGCGGCGGCCATACAGAAGCGCACGGAGGAGCACCTGCGGAGGCTGGGGGGCGTCACAGTGTCGGCCAAGCCCATCGTCATGCGCGCAGAGTGGGTGGCGCGGGCGAGGCGCGGCGACTTGCGATGACGTCTTTGACCCTGGGGGGGTGGGGGGAGCCCTGTGGCACGGCACAGTTTTGGCCCCAAGGGCCCTGGGAGGGCACAGTGATGCCACGCGCCAGGGTTGTGTTGGGGTGCCCAAACCCAGATGATGAGGAGATCGCATTATCAACAATTTTGACAGCGTAGCGTTTTTCTAATTTGTGCGTTGCGCTTCGTGTGCTGAAGCACAACCTAGGAAGTGGTCTGACAAGGCAAAGTGATCGAGCACATAGCATGCATGCAATGTATTGTGGAGATAAGATGGCAAAATTTCTTGAAGGGCTTAGTTGTGGACCCCCTGGATGTGAGGATGCCAGAACTTTGGCGACTTTTGGCTGAATCAGTCACAAAAAGGACTGCATATCAGATGCATAGTCCAATTGGATACATCTAGGAAAAGACAGACCGGAAGAAATTTGTAATTCCGGTCCTGTGGAAGGCCTCCATTTTTCTTTCATTGCCGCAACTACAAAAGTATGCGCCAAAGACCCACAAGTGCCTTTCATCAAAACAACGCCGAAGGACTGCTGTCTGTTTCCCGCTCGCTATCCTGCAATGATGTTTCTTTCAATATAGTACCGTAGAACACGTGCTCTGCGAAATTAAGGATCATGGGATCTGTATTGGATATCTGCGGTGCCGTGGCTTACCTTGGACGAGCCAGTGACACCACCCTGTTTCGAGCACAGGGAGGGCCTTGTGGCTGCACCCTCGCCTTTAGTTGTAGCATTTCTTGATTGATAGATCAGTTGAATATCTAAATAAATCTGAGGTTCTGAAACATAATGCTGTCGATTGTATTGTTCCCACTTTTTCTTTAAGGCATTGTTTCGGTAATGCAGCTGAATTATTGTCTTTAACTGCAGATACCAATGCAAATTGGTGGAAAAGCAAATGATAATATTAGTCTGCAACTGATAAGAAATTGACGCCATACGTCTCCACCACAGTCAGTTTTGTATAAAATTCTTGGCTCTGATACTGCTTTTCTTCGCAGATATGCCTACTGCCCCAATTTGACCATAGTCGATACACCCGGGCTGGTATTGAAGGTAAGTTCGACTTTGACTATTAGACACCGCAGTAATTGAGCATTTCTATCCGGTATCTTTGCACAATACTTGAGTACACTACGATTGAATATATTATGTACTAGAAAAGGCATGAAGTACTGTACCTATACTAATGCTTTCAGTGAGTGAATTCTCTGATTAAACCTCGCATATTACACTATGTTTTCATTGTTAATATGGTCCAATCGATCTTCCAGGCGAAAGCAAGTGAAGCCGACCACACACCCGATGATATTATGCAGATGGTGAAGGCGCAGGCGCAGCCGAGCAACAGGTGGGCAGCCGCTGTCCTTGTGCTTACCTTGCGCATTCTGGCAACAATCGCTGTGAATATCCAAGATACCCACAACCGCCCTACGTGTGCCACGGTCCTGTCTTAACCATGGCAGGTGCCATGATGACAATATCAACCATCATTTGAGACTGCTCCTGCATAAGGATGAAGGTTTGGGTCAGCATCAACGTTAGGATTAGCATAGGGACAGGATGAAGATTAGGTTTAAGATCATTGTTGGCGATTAGGAATGAAGGAAATGCGCTCAGTTTTGTATTGAACTGCAACGGTAGTGTGCAAATCCGTATGGCGTAAATTAGTCTTTATAGGATCGTGTTTCGTGCCCAAATGAAATAATTTTAGAACGGCGTCAAGCTCGTTGATAGTTGTGTTGCATTATTGCATAGTGCTGTCCATTGCAATTTGTGATAACGGTGCCCTCCTCAGAGGGTGTCGGAACAACAACAACACGTTCTTTTGAAACCTTCCGTGCGAACGCCGAACACGTCAATCACGATTGCTCGTCCAAGACGCTCCATCCATTCAAAGCATTCCCATCCGCAACAATTCCAATCTGCACACTTCAATCCGATTTGCACAGGAAGAGAGCCCTTTGCTGACCCCATTCAACTACTTATAGTTACGCCTCGTGACATTTGCCACCCTTGTCCAGCGCATCTATGTGTGCGGCGTGGCACAATTTTTCGAATACTCAAGAGCATTCGCTGCCATCGCCTCGGTGGCGATGCCAGCGGTAACAATGCGCAGTGCTGAACCACCAGGTTGATCCTCTTCCTGCAGCAGAGCAGCGTTGAGTGGGCGAGCTCGCTGTGGCTTCACGTAGTGCACGAAGTGGACCCAAATTTTCAGCGGACGGTATGCAAAGATTCTTCATGAGAATGGTTGCTGCGCTGGCGCAAACTGGCCCCAGAAACTCGAGTACCATTGACTATGTGCTACAACTCGCGTACTTAATGAATTAGAATAATTGACGCCATTCAAACGCATACACACTTCAATAATGAAGCAGTGTTGAAGCCATATTGCATTGCATGTGTAAGGGAAGGAATTGCGAAGGCGCCGGCAAGAAGATGATGATGCTCTGGCTTACACGTCATGGCGGCCACACTTTTACATTATTTACTGTGAATACAACAACATAGCGTGGGCCTTGGTTCATTTAGCGCATCGAGATGGCACGCGCTCTGCGTTTGGCACAACATCGATGCTGGGCCGCTGCAACAATGAAACATCTATTCCAAGTACAGTTTCCTGTCATGATCAAAGAGTGGAGACAAACAAAGAAACTGTTTTGAACCTCGGGAGCCTACGGAGGGTGCAATCTCGCAACGAGTTTCGCTGCTCGTGATGGACCAGGACGCTGTGCCTTAGCTGTTCGTCGGCGCACAGTGTGACTGTTGATTGTCATGAATGGGCGCGTTAGTGCTCTCAAGTTCACAGCGGCATGTGGGGATTCGATGCAGATCGTGGTGGCCAGCAAATTCGACAACAGGCTAAAAGAGTTCAAGGAGCGATGGGAAGTGGACAAGTATCTGAGCGCCACGGGATATTTGCCGCCCAATGTCAAGCCTTTCTTCGTTGCTCTGCCCAAGGTGAGCCTCCCTGATTGCCGCACCCACAGGTTCGCAATTCGGAACGGTGGCTGCGACGCGCCAAATGGACGACTTTTCTTCCCTCCTGCACCAGCTTTGGGCACAGTATGCAATATCTCCAAAAGGAGATGTCGGCAACGGCAGTATGTGTGCACTAATATTTTTCGAATGGCTTTCCCTGACAGCACACTTTCGAAAACCAACAACCCTGTCATCCAATCAGATCACTCGATAATTGTCCAAATCCGTGCGTGGTGCGCCATGCACACATTTGAAACATAGCCAATGGGTTGGCGTGCCACTCCGCCAATTCGCTCGTGTTGGCGGATCTACATGCGGCCCTGCAGTGAACGCAAGTTGCTCGGCTGCAGCGCTAAGGCTCGCCGGGATAGCGTTTAGTTTTTGCGAATGGCGCCCGGCATTTCCTGGCTG